ACATGTTTGATGCACGTCATCAAGGTGCGTGGCAAGGGTTGCACTGAGGTGATCACCGGACAGGGGCGGCATGCTGGACCATTCAGAGGTACCGGTCACCTGCGCCACCGCTTCGAGCACTTCCACCTGCACCGTCGCAAACTCTCCAAAAAATCACTTGCCTGCATGTGTTGAAAAAATCAGCCGAAGCTCCATGCGCCTGCTTGTGGATGAACGCCATTGCCTCTCTAAATGGAGTCTGCAAACGGCAAAAAAGGGCTCGAGATGGCTCGAGAAAACCTTGAGGACGGGGCATGGTTCACTTCTTGGAAGATAAGGGGCCTTCCGACTCAAAGCCACTCAGGCATGCCGTGCAAGTGCCGCGTTGACGTTCTGGCCGAGCATCAGGCAGAAGGCGGTCGATGCCTTATGGAAGTTCGGCATTTGCCATCAACCCTGAACCTAATCTAAACCCATCGTTGCCGTCAATCGGCGGGTCTCTTGGAAGGGCTGGGTTCAGATTGCTGCAACCCTGGACGCCAAACCGGGCCGAGATCCTGGCACCGAAAGGGATCCGGAAAAGGGCACAGCCTGATGCCAAGGCACAAATTTGGGTGTTTACGATAAAAAGCAACAAGGTAGCCCTAATATCGTAAACCCCAATTTGGCTCTGGCAGTGGACCCAAGGGTGTAAGGCCCGAGCGGGCGTGATGAATCAGGACGGATCGTGCAGGCACTGCCTCACAGGCATCTGCAAGATGTTGTGTTTCCATGTTGCCGAGGTCACATTGTTCAGCCTGATGGTGCACGCCGTGGCGGGGACTCCCAGCCGGCATCCTTGCTCAGTTTGCCCGCAGCAAGGGTTTATGACAAACGCATCCACCCGCACGCATGCCTTCACCATCCTTCACCCCAAAATGCGGTGCGCCAAGCTTTGCCCTTCTGACTGGTTTGTTGTCTGGGATTCGGAAACAGCACGATAATAAAGGGTTCGTAGGATACAGGTTTTTCTACACTTACATTCAGCACTCAGTTGGCTTAGGCAGTTCCTTTCTATCAGAATTCCGAATTCCCCAAGATCCCCAGGGGTGACTCAGGGCTCTTCGCAGGATTTGGATGGGAAGGCTGCGACACTGAGGGTCGGAACAGGCATGGGGTGATTCAGATGCCTACAATCAACTCCTGAACTTTGAAGCCCTACACCCTGACCCCAGCAGATGTCACTAACCTGGTATCCCCAAGGCACTACTTTAGACTCATCTGTCGTGGTATTGAGGGCTTTTGCCGAATCGGGGCAAAGCGCAGAGTGTGCGAGTAGCTGCATGGAACTTCTCGTGGCATCCGAGGCGCGGCTTCTCTCTCTGCCAAGTGATCCTCCAGGATGGACTCGAGTTGCTCCTGAGAGAACAGCCTGAGGAGGACGACGAGCGACACCGGACTTGCATTGGGTGACAAGAATGATGTGGGAAGCGTATGGACGCACATGGCATGCGTTTCTGTATGCTTGCTAGCAGCGGCTCATAGCGTCTGCCAGTTGCCAGGAAAAGATCTTCCACAGACACCTTCGCAGGGTGGCGCTTTTGCTGCTCATTGACTGCATTCCTCTCTAGTGATCTCAACTTAGCCAAGCCTTCAACGAGTTCTCGACACGAGCCTGCCAGAAGAATATCTAGTATTTGCTGGGGCCAGAATATTTCAGAACATGTGCTTGTTACTGGCCTCCAGCACTTCGTCTGGCACCTACTGTACCAGAAGTTGCATGAAATTTGCACAAAGTGCAATGTACCACATGCTACTACGACTAGCGCGTGCGCGCCTCTGCGATGGAAAGCAGCACCTCGCAGGATGCAGGTGAATGCACTGCGCTCAGTTGGAACATCGCGAAGAACCTTGAGAACTCTCTCAGTGCAAGTGGGCAACAAAAGACATTTTCAGCAGTGCAGCAACCCTCAGAGAATCCAATCATCCGACAGCCACTTTGCCGTCACGGGTGAAAAAATACCTCTTTCGGAACTGACCCTGCTGACCTCGACTTGGCCACGTGACGTCTTTGCGAATCACACATGGCATGGCTGATGCAGGTGTGCCCTGCGCTGCATTCGTAGTGCTTTGTGAGGATGCGGTTGGGCACTTGTTCATCGCGGCGCGCTCCTCGTGTTCCTCACTCTCCACCTCTTCATTCTCATTCTCAACCTTGGGCTTCTCCTCCCCGACACGCTGCTTGCTCAGCTCGACGTCACCCATGTTGTTTCGACTCACGGAGTTCCAGGTCGTAGGCTCTCCCGCAGACGCCATGCCGACTTTGGGCCACGCGACTAACAAGAGCTGCTCCTGTTCAGGCATGTTACCATGTTAGTGGACCACGAACAGGGGGGCTGCCGAAACGCCTTCTAGCGGTGGAGACTCATGTCGGTGCTTACATGTACTTGACGACCTCCTTCTTGACAACTCAATTGAGCCTTCTACATGCCTGTCCCGCAGAAATGCTGCTGTGCAACCGCAGAATTTTCTGTCAACGTACAACAGTCAAGCAGGCTTGGCATCTGCTCACTCTGCAAGTGCGGGTGTGGACATACCTTTAGAATCCTTTAAGACGCATTTAAACACAAAGAGCTACGAAGGTACCAGCGAAACTCCACTGCCTCGCCCGCGAGGATGAGCCCAGCAAGCGATCCCAGGGTCATGGGCTCTGGGCAGCCTAGCCTGCTTGCACGGGGCATTGCGGCATCTCGAAGCCCAGCGATCTACAGCGAGCTTACCGGCACAGACACGCCTGATTGCATACATAGCGAAAAAATATATGTGTCTAGGTTATATCGAGCATGATGGTGCCTGACATCGAAACAAGCATCCGCTGACCCCGTGCAAGAAAATGGTAGCCCTTCCCGCTTGCACCACCAAACGCCCCTCCACAGCCACCTCCAACCCTTCCTGGCTGGCCACCCCTTCCCCAACTAGGGGGGGGGAGGGGAGGGAGGGGGGGGGGGGGGGGGGGGGGGGGGGGGGGGGGGGGGAGGGGGAGGGGGGGGAGGGGGAGGAGGGGGGGGGGGAAGGGGGAGGGGGGGGGGGGGGGGGGGGGGGGGGGGGGGGGGGGGGGGGGGGGGCGAATGCGCGCTCACGCCAAGGGACCTGCACTGTGAAAATAGGTTTGCTTGTTCAATGCGCGTGCTTGTTGTTCTAGTGTTTCTCCTTTGCCTTTTCGTAATTCAGCATGCACGAAAAACAGCGTATTCTGCACTCGTGTGTTTGTGCTTACTTTAATCTACGCGTTTGTATATCTTGTGTTTGAAAGTTTGTCTCTGACTGCTAGTCTTGCTGTTGTGGTTGTTGCTGCTGCTGCTGCTCCTCCTCCTCTTGTTGTAGTCGTTCTCGTTGGGGACAGCCCCGCCAGATAAGGATGGTTAGAAACAACCATTTCATTATTATGATAAGGAGAAGGAAGAGGAAGAGGAACTTGGTACTGATGGTTCATGATGCGTTAGCCACGTCCCTGCCTGCTCCAGCCATGACGGCGGCATCCCCACCCCGAGGGGATCTGGGGAACAGGCCCACACCTGGTGCTTCAATGCCTGTAGGACTACGTGCAGGAATCCTGATCCCAAGAGGCGGCAAACGGCTGGCGAAAGTATAACAAACTCGAGGAAACCCGTCCAAAAAACGCACTGGTGCTGCACACGCTGATGCTGATGTTACTTTACTACTGCCATGGACAACGTTGCTACCATCATCTCTTTATGTCGACTGAGCTCACATATACTCACTAATTCGATGTTGGCACGTTTACCGGGACTTGCGTTGAACAAAAACATCTCCTTCACCTTGCGAAGGGTCACCAGACTGACAGCTCGAGTGACAACCATGACGAAGGCATCCAAGGAGTACCTGAGACATGTTCTCAAAGCAGCCAAGCTAGTACTGCAGCCTTGCCAAGACGGTCAAGGGCACTTGTAGAAGGTGTGCATCTTGCACAGCTCCATCATCAGGAAGAACCTGAGTCCCCCAAACAGGCGGGACTTCCAGCACGGATCTGTGATCATGCCTACAAAGGCCTGCGACGCTAACGCCTGAGTCTCACGCAACAAGGACCCTCGGTTGGCAACGAGTCGGTAGTTCTCGGAGACCATGTTGATCTTTGCCTGGCCAGGGCAATCAACTTCATTCCCGTATTCTGCCTGCTAAGGTAAAGCAGGTCGCACCAGATGTCTATGCGCGAGAACAACTCGGATTAGCTGCAGCAATAGCCTCTGTCATCTGGGCAACCTTCACTTTCTCCTGCATTGGTCGAGCAATACTTGCAAGAAGCGAGAAACAGTCTGAGAATGTGTCCCTCGACGCACCGACCTCACCCAGACTTCATGGCCCGGAACCGGCACATGTGGTGGAGCCCAACAGCCACATAATCCCTTCCTCGGAATGCTAAAACCCCCCAAACATGGCCTCTGATACATGAGAGCACGACCCGAGGAGGCGGGGGGTAGGGCCGGGGTGGAGGTGGTTGGGGGGCGGTCGGGTGGGGTCAAAAGGGGCGCGGGGGAGGAGGGGCTTGTAGTGAGTAAAATTGGGGGGAGGGGGGCGTAGAGGCTCCTTGACCTCATCCGAAGTGAACTTGGCATCTTCGAGGCCGAAGACCAACTCGTGGTCCTGCAAAGCTGCTGTTGAAAACGCTTAGGGTTCGTCTTCTCTTTTAGGAATCTTACACTAGGAGCACTTAAGACAAGTATGTCAATTGGGACCCCAAGTGTTAGACTATTTTTTGGTGGGGCCAGCGCGGGCAACGGATGCTGGCCAGCGCTAAGGCACCAAGGCTTCCCATGGAGTTCATGGGAGTCCGGAGTGCAATCTACTCCTCAGGTGACCAACTCCAACGCTTCTGACATCGCCCTGCTCCAGCTCTTTTTCGCTACTCCTCGGGCACAGGTGTCCGAATTGCCTCAGCAACTTCACAACGGTGCTTTGCGAACAGTTCCTTAGCAAACAAGCGAGCAGAGTGGAACCTTAAGATGTTGCAGATGCAGCTGGAGCCTGCACATGCAGATGCACAATGATGCACATGTAATGGCAGGACACCGGCTGGAGTTGAGCTTCCGGAAAAATGGCACGCTGTGCCGCCATTTCCAACTTGGGAGAACCAGACAGTCCTGAGCCCAGCGGTTCTGGGTGCCCTCAGCTCCTGCATTCTCTCAGAAGCCATGGCTAGCCATGGCATGTCAGCCAAGCGTCTGCGTGATAGCCACCAGAACGGTTTCCTTTCGGAACGTTTCAGCAAGTCATGCTGCATTGTGCCGCCAGGTTCTGCCATGTCGTGCCCGCATCCCCTCTTCACGCGCCCCAGCGACCCCCACCCCCACTGTAGTTCAGGCAGGCGGCTCCAAGTTGTCACAGGTCTTTGCACTAGTCCTCAGCTTCTCTGGCGCGGCACATCTGCTGAGCTTCGACCGGTCTCCTAACCCTTAGGCAGTCATGAGCCATAAAGCCCATGAAGCATTGAGCCTCAACAAGGCCCTAACAAGGTCTTCCAAAACTGAACGAAGTGCGGACAGTTCTCTCAAAGTGTTGAAGGCGCCTCTTCTGCTGGAAGGCAAGGCGGGCAGAGCGTGTCTGCTCTTTCCGCTGGGTGACATCACTCTTGTTGCCCACCAAGACGACCGGAATCGTGCCACACAACTTCGAAACGTCCCTCAAGAAGTTCGGCACATTGCGCCTCAGGGCTGCAGGGCCATGAGCAGCCAGAAAGCTCACTCTGCAAACACAGCAGCTTGTAAACTGTCAGATCTGCAGGAACCCATCTGTGGCTGGCACCAAGATGCGCGCGACCCCATGTCATACATGAGAATGGCGGCCTTCCAAGCACTGTTTGAGGTCCAGTGATGCGTCGTGTGAGCTCGTCCCCTCTACGAACCGACGCGGGTCAACGCGGCTGTGCTTGAACAAGGAGCGGTGTCGGCCTGGCTCTGGCTGAACTTGCGCTCTTCGGCACTGGGGTCCAGCTCCCAAACATTGAAAACAATCCTCAGCGTAAGGTGGAAAGAAGCGGGAAGACCTTGCAAAGGGATTCTGATTCTGAGGGGACCACCCATGACTCATGACTCTTCTGCAAATGCCACCCATGAAGACAAGGAGCTCGCCACATGTGGTGGCAAAGCGCAGCAAGACCACCTCTGTTGCTTCGCATCTGAAAAGCAACTTCTTCATACTTCTTCTACAGGACGTAACGTGGCATGAGCACGGCTTTGCGAGTTGCGCCTCTGTGTCCTGCGCAGCTCCACTCCTGATTCGCAGAGGCAAGGCTGCAGCGCGCTGTGCCGTTGACACGGAATGTACCGTTTGCTTTGCTGGACATCTCGCTCCTGGCAAACTCGCCTGTGTGATGTCGGAGAAGGAAGGAAGTTTTCCCAACAGCCTTCTCACCGATCAGCAGAATCTTGAACCTCGGGGGCCGTCCAAGCGCATGCAAACTGTATTGAATCCCCTACTCACCCTAAACCCTAAACCCTAAACCCTAAACCCTAAACCCTAAACCCACTGAGATGAGCACTCAGCTACATGCTGCCGCATTGATCCAGGCGGGGCAAAGTTCAGACTGGATGTCGAGTTTTTCGTTCCTTAAGTGTTCGGACGGGTCGCGTGAGCTTCGCTTGCAGGGCAAAGGAAACTAAGAGCGACGCCTGCAGCGAACTTCTGCCCAACCTCATCGACCATTGCCTTGCAAAGAAAGGCAACTCTGAAAAAGATTAGCCCGTTCAACCCCTCCCAAAAAATACCTGCGAAATTGACCCGGTTTAGAGCAAGAAAAGGTTCAAGGGTTGAGGCTTCAGGGCCCCGAACCCTTAGACCGCCCCCACACCCCGAGCTTCCTCTTCAATGTGGGGGCTCTTCTTCCCGTGCGGTGCTACAGCTGATTGCCGAAAGCCGCCCATGCTGCTTACAAATCACACATCAGGAGCATCAGCTGGACCTAGTTTCTCCACTAATCCCTGCCACGATGGCCCCGAAACTACCCTCCCCCACGCCCCCACGCCCCCCCACACCTGCTTATGCTGATTCAGCAAGGCTCTTCTTTGAACAAAAACCGAAGTTTTCGTCATTACATGCAACGCAGGCATGCCCCATTTACAAGGCCAAGCCTTGAATTCGGGCGACTTGCGGCCTCCAAGTACTCCTCGTTGTCAAAACGGTCCCACTTCGCCTGCGCAGCGAAGCAACCCACATCCTGAACACTGATCCAAACCCCTATAGGCCATAGAAACTTCAGCCAGAACCTACAAACTGAAACCCCACCAGCAGCAAGCCACCACTTACAGGGGATTGGAGCAACAACCTCCAGACCCCACGCACACCGGAGAAAGGGACGGCCTGGAACGCATCGAAGGCTGCTCGGCCCTTTACCTCCGGAGACTTGTCGAGTCCTTGGTTCCAGTTTAGGGCTTGTCAGGATTTATACGATTTAGGGTGCTTGAACCTGTTTTCACGGTTTCCAAAGCCCTGAGTCAGAATTTGTTGTTTTAGGGAGTCTGCATCGGAACCTATCAGTTGCAACTGTCATAACCTGACTGGCGTCGGTTGATGGTTTTTAAATGTTAGCTTCATAGCAGTATTGATATTCGCATTGGTTTCCATCAAAATTTAAGGCAGTTGTTAACACTAAATTACCATGTACTTTGAATTCTATCGAATAAGCACTATAAACAGCATCTAATGTATAACCAACTGTTAATGGTTCTGCTCCTGTATCTGCTAATAACGAATTGTGATTTGACATCCTGATTTGCATGACTATTGAGATTTAAATTCCGCGTGCATCATCGAGACGGTATTAGGACAATGAGGACTATCATTATTAGAACTAAAGTAATTATCAGTGCTTCTAACAGGAAGAGAAAGGACATTCTCTGCTGTGTTTTCTACAACCTAAACCACCTGTTGGCACTGCTGTTTTCCACTCAAAAAATGACTCGCGTTCCTGATAGTCAAACCTCACTGCTTACTTGCAGAAAATATCAAGAATTCTGAAAGAACATATAGTTCGTCGCAACGATGTACAATGCCAAAAATGTCATGCCATGGATTAAATCGTAGATGTAGATTTAGAATGCACTCTGCTATGAACAAATGCACTCTGCTATTAAAGCAGCTAATACATAAACACAGATGATGCTTACAATTCTAACATCTTTAGTTTACATTTAGAATGCTAAAATAATGTAGATTCTTCTTTAGATACTGTAGATTGCGAAGTTTTTGGGGTTTCTGAGGACTCTGCTGCCTCTCAGAGATGAAAGAGGGGCATGCATGCATTCGCCATGTGCCACCACTGCCCCATCTGAGGGCCTCGCGGACCACCTCCTCAACTCGCTGTGGCGGGGCACAGGATTCACCTCCGGCCACCCTCGCTCTCTCTGTTCTCTCTCTCTCTCTCTCCCTCGCTCTGCGCTGTTGCCGACTTGGGTACCCTGAGCTTCTGGCTCTTTGGGCGATTGTGGTAATATCCCTTCTTGGCCACCTTCAGAACTTTACATGCTTGGAGAGGGAAGGCTCTGCGCACAGGGCACTGCCTCTTTGAGAATGGCCAAGTCCTCCTCGTCCAGATCATCTTCGTCAAGGCGCACGACACTCATCGGCTTGTCTCATCGCTCAGCTCATGGCTCATGGGGCCTTCTCTTGGGTTGGCGCTGTGATCAGTGTTTACTGTATCCTAGCAAACTACATGTATATAGACACTCTGGACTTGTTCATGTGGGTATGCTGTCTGCTCAATCAAAGGCGTTGGCGCTATGTTGCTCCAGCAGCATAAGCATCATGAAGGGTCACAGCTATTTTGGGAGAAACTTGTTTTGCTTGCCGAAAGAAGCATTGCCATCTTGCATGTGATCTCAGAAGATTTCTTGAACCACTGGCTCACAATCGGGATTGTGGAGCCTTAGGTTCAGGTGCCGGTGCATGTACAGTACGGGAGGCTAATTTTCTTGACAAAGGGGAGGGGGTGGGGGGCTGCACCTGGTGGCATCTGGTGGCTATCTCCTTGCGGTGGCTCCTGAAACTGGGTAGCCTACCCACCCCTGGTCCTCCAGAATGTCGCCTTCTGCGCCAGCGAGCTTCTCCAGCAAGTACGATTCCAAGTCGGCCAGGCGCACCTGGGTCCCACCCGCGGGTACCAAGAGAATCAAGAATGCGGCTGAACCCTAAGTGTCCAACCACCAAAGCAACACACCCTCAACGTGAAAAACGCAAGATGCCTTGAACTCGTTCTGCTGCTGGATCAGCTCTGACTTCGTCCGGGCCAAGTCCGGCCTCCACAGGTTTCAGCTGGAAGGCGGGAGAGAGATTTTCGAAGCTTCCCTCCCCAGCTTGTGGTCAGCAGAAGTAGTAACCCAGTCAGGGCCTAGGGTTGCCCTACCAGGTTGCCTCTCCAGCTTCACAACCAAGAACAGCAGCTGGTCCTGCTGAAACAACATGCTTCTGAATATACTTTATCGTCAACATACTGCACATCGCAAGCGACGCGGTCTGCTACAAGCCCAAGAGATGGCCCCTGGCACGGTTTCGACAGGCTGCACTTTGGGAAGAAGGCGGGGGCAAAGAGCTCCAGCTCCTGCAACCCTTGCTCCGTGACGGTGAAGTTGATGACTGTGCATTCGGCCTGGTCACAGTGACTGAATCGCTCACTGATGCGTGGCAGAACAACAGATTAATCAGTGACTAATCGCATGTGAAAGTGTCGACATCTACGACGCAGCTTCTCGCACATTGCTTTGGTCTTTTGATCTCCACGACTGGCTGCTAGGTCTTGCCATTGTATGTGGCGGATGTCTCCAGATCCAGCCTGAGATGCTCCGGGTCACTGTCGAGGAGGCATCAATATATTGATGTCTAGCTGTCCTCGCGGCCTTTTCGTAAGTGCGTCCCAAGCGGCACGCCTCTAAGCTCCTTTGGCTTTGGCAAACGGATGCGAGTAATGCCTGCAGAGATCTGCCAAAGTCTTGGTAGCCGTATCATTCTGAAAGAAATGCTCATCTGAAGAGAGTGCGGTCGCCTTCTTTGCGCCCATCACGGACCTCTTCCAATATGTCGTTTGCATGCCGGGCTGGCCTCAGCAAATCATGGCTGCACCACTTCCACCTCATCCTCTGACATTCTTGTCCCTTAGAGTGGGCAAGAACCAGGATGGCAACAAACACGAAGACGGGCCTTTAATGCTCTGAGGTATGTGCACGCCCTCGCGCGTGCCCAGCGTCAGATGCGGCACCTGCTTCAAGACGCTGCCGATTCGTGTCACGGCTCCAGCCGCAGAACTCATCGTTCCAGATGGCGCTATAAGCTTGCTCCATGTCAAGCTTGCCTGCCTTGCTCCCACAAGGAACACCCTCTGGCAGGTCAACGAGAGCACAGGCCTTGTCAGTTCAAATCCAGCTGATACATGTCTGGCGCCTCGCTCCGACGTTCGAGGCTGAGAGCTGTGCCACGTTCTCTTCTATGATGATTTCGGTCATCTTGATGGCAACTGTGGAGCCTTTGCGCATGGCAGGCAGGCCTCTTTGTAGACTTTGTGGGCCCACAGGACGTCGGGTGCGGAGTCTGTTTGGGACACTGGTTGCACTTCTGTCCTGCCTTTGAGTTCTTCCAGGGTCTGCTTGGCCGCTCTGAACTCCGTGGCGGAAAGGCCGGCCTGGCGCTGGCGATCTGGAACTCCAAAAAACTGATCTTTAGAGGGCTTTCTACCGGGCTTTGTGGAGTTTATGAGAGCTAATTAAATGTCCGGAGTCTTGTAATTATTCTAAAGATTCTAAGGAATCTTCGAAATTTCTGAAACGGCGTAGCATTCGCAAGGCTTGGCATCTTCAGAGCTCCCATGGAGTCCAAAGAAGCTTTTGCTGAACGCGTTTGCTCCGGCAGAAACTCCGCGGAGGTGCCCTACATTAGGTGATTAGGGTCCCGTTTTGGGCTCTTGTTACAACACGGGGCCGCTGATATATGTTCTCAAGGGTATCGCAGAAGCGGGTATCGCAGAAGCACCCCGACAAAATCCCCCCCCCCCCCTCAATCGGGCCGGGTTCTCACGAGCAGCTGCGCGCTCCTCGGATCCTTCGCCTCACACTGGGGATTGAGGTATATGCAACATGCAGGATGCGGACCTTTAAATTTGCAGAACGAGTTATGGCTTCACCCACGCAGCTTTGCACCTCCAATGTAGAGCAGAGTAACGTGTGGCCGAACCTCCACCATCGAATGACACACAGAATTGCCACTTCTCGGGCAGGTTGACTGCTCGGGCTCACTTGATGCAGGGAGCAAGCACTAACAGGTACTTGTATACTCACGTCGGAAAGCTCTTGCGGTGAACCCTTGCCAGAACCCTTGGGCACCACTGGCAGAAAGCTCCGGGGCAGCACGCCACGTTGGGAGAGCACCTGCCGGTGCGAGAATCTTTGCAGGCCATCTCACCAAAACCACTGCACGACATTTTCAGAAACGTCTATCTGTAAGCCCGTGCAGTAAGCATCACAGGCTGAGCGGCTCAACATGCCAGCCTTCAGAACGTCCGGCATGTCAATCCGCCAGAAAAGTGGCAGTGGGGGATCCGGCCTGCAATCAGCTGCGGGGAAGGCGATGGTGAACAGCATGGTGCATCTAAGAACTGTAACGTCAGCCAGAATTGATTCCATTAACGACAGGATTATCTAGTCTAGAATGGCCCGCAGGTCAAACAGGCAAGGTCTGAAATTCCTAGTGAGCGGCCGCCTCGCCGGGAGCTCGAGGTCGACGATCTCGGCGCGCTTCTTCTCACGGCGCCGCTCCTCTGCCTGAAGGCGGTCTGCCTGCAGACTTTTGACTTTGAAGGTCCGGAATGCACAAGAACTCTGCAGCACTGGTGAGGTGATGAATGCTGAGTCGTGCGTTGCTTGCGTGTTGCTGGGAATATGCTGCCGGGCTCCCGGCCTCAACTGCTCGAGAGCCTGCGCAAGCAGAGCTGGTCATCATACTTCTTCAAATCATTTGGTAGCTTGCACTTGTGCAACGACACTGCAAAGTGCAATCGCAAAACTCCATCCCAGCTGCATTCGTCCAGCCAATATTCATCGGCTTCTTGTCGCGGACGCTTCTCTGGAGATTGCTGGCTTGTCGGCCTGCGTCACTGGTCAGAGATTAAAACCTGAGGGTGAACCATCGAAACCCTTTGTTTAAAGCCATGCCTGTCCTTCCGAAACCATTCGAAAACCCCAAGATTGAAGCACAACCTGAAACACGTGGCCTGGCCGCCGCTCGTTTTGCAAGCTTCGCCTTGCATCTTCCAAACTCTTTTGCCAACCGCCACGCACAAGAGAAAGGGATAAAAGAGATGTAACACTTGGGATGTCCCCCCGTATACCAACAGTCCTTCATAGGGATTCTTATAGGGGGGGGGGGGTACTATGATCCCTGTTAAGGACTGCTAGTACAAGGGGGAACATCCCAACATAACAAGCACATGAGCCAGGTGGCCCCCAGAGATGTTCTGTTCTACAGGTGCCCCTGCCTTGGGGAGCTTGGAAGCTGACGAAGATGGTGCAGAGGGTGTCGGAGGTGTCGGGGCCGTGTCGATCAGGCCTCCAAGCATGATGTCACCCTACAGTACAATGGGTGAGGAATGGTGAGAATGCCCGTATGCCGCAATATCCGCAGTCATTCATTACAGCAAAACTTCGAGGCAACCGCGGCTTGAACCAGCGAAAAGATCTGGTAATGACAGCATCATTGCTTTGTGGGGTTCTGCAGCCCGTGCCTTTTACGATGGTCAGGATCGCGTCTGACGCCTGGCAGGTGCGTTGTGTCTTCGGCGACTTATAGCGACTATATGTGACTACTATCGATGGCCCTTGGGCGCCTCATCAGTCTTGCCGGCCAAGGCGAGATGCACGCTGCTCCTCACATCTTCCCTGACAGAACAGAACAGCTCAGCACTGCCCTACCAGAAAGTGGTATCTGGTAATCCAAAACAAACCCAAGATGCTCTTCGGACTGGTTTAGTTAACGGGGGAGAGGGAGGGCCGGGAGGGGGGTGAGGAAGGGAAGAAAGAGAGAGAGAGAGAGGGAGCGCACGCTTAATCACCAATCCCAGACAAAAGAAGAAGCTGCAGCTGCAGCACCTGGCCAGCAGCCATCGTATCACATCAGCCTGGAGCGGGTGTCCACCGTGCCGAAACAGCTGAACAGCCAATCGGGTCGTTTGGCGCCTCGAGTTTGGTAAAATCATCGACGGCATCGGTGCCCATGTGTCCTGGGGTGGCCTGCAGCTTACAGTCCCATGATTTCGCAACTCACATGGCTCGCAGCATGTCCAATCTCGGGTTGTAGGGAGCCTGCAGCACACCCCCAGGGCCGTAGGCCAAGCGCTTGGCCACAAGGAGCAAGAAGAGCTTTGGCGGCTTGGCATATCTGGTCTGCTGCTCTGTCGCTGAACTCTTTGTGATTTTTGTGTGCCAACCCCAACCGTTCACAGTGATTGCAGAAAACCGTGAATAGCCTCCATATCATCTGAAATCACCACAAGTGGCATATGCACAGTCTAGACTATGACCCCTCGTGTGAAAGCTGCAAGCTCGAGCTGGCGCAATCATAAAGACACGGGCGACCCTGGGCTTGCAGGAATACCAGAAACTGCGAGTCTCTTGTCATCTTCACTTGCCTGAATTTCAGGCGGATAGTGTGGATTGGAGAGCTTCGTCTGCATGAAGAGGCGGAACTTGTCATTGTAGTTAATGTCCTCAACACTGACTTGTCCAAGAGTCTAAGAAAGGCTTGGCCTAGTCTCAGCTGGCATGCCGATGGATCGACTTGCGGACTGTGTTTTCATGTCGCGGGGGTCCTTGTCCCCAAGTTTCAGGACTTTGCGCGTGCCACGTTTGATGGTGTTGCGAGCCTTAAGCTGAGCTTTGTGAACGGAATGTGCACTGTTGATTCTCTGAGGATCTCTGAGATCTTGGCGATAACAGGCTGGAGCACTGCATCAATGTGTTCGCCCATGTTCTCGACAAGCACCTGTCTTCGCCATGTGCCAGCGGCATGCCCAAACCAGCTCTCCTACAAGCAGGACTATCGATGGCTGGCACAGCGAGAGGAACTCTTAGGTAGCTAAGCCCACAAGCGACCCCCCTTCTCATGCATGGCAGGTTGGTATCCCGGTGCAAAACGGGCGGGCAGCACGCTGTGGCCGGCTTCGATGGACTTCTCAAAAACTTGTACCTCGTATTCACGCGCTTCTTCGGATTAGCATTCACATGCTCCTTAGAAAGTGCGCGGATGCAGGCAAAGCGGGCCAGGGCTCCAGCCATTTTCGGCGTTCCCATGCGCGTGATCTCAGCGCAAACCCACAACGCAGCCACAGTACAATACAGTACTCATTGAGAAGATACGGAGCCATGGTTTCTCCAGAAAGAAAGTTAAAGTTGCTCCACCGCAGCAGTTTCAACGGCATTCAATTGAGGTTGCGCACCAAACCTTTGACTCGAGGACACCGACTAACGAAAGAGGCTGGATTGAGGCTGTATTCTGTACAAGGCCCTGACAGTAGAAATCGCAGGGGAACAGTGGGAACAGTCACTTCAGCAATCCAAGGCTTTGGCTTGCAGATTCCGCTCGGCCTCCTTGTTCTTGATCCACACGATGCCCTGTGTGCTGGTTGAGACTGGGACTCTGGTTTGAGGCTTGAACTCCCCCACCTGAAGCTGAGGATCAATGACGAGGCACCATCGCTGACTGCACGTCATGATTGCGCCTTATCATCCGTGCTTCGCTCTGAGATGAGTGATGACAAGGACATTTCAGTTCCGAAAGAATTGAGGCTCGAGCCGTTCTCCAAGGACACCCGGTCACTTGGCAAGCCATTGGCCTTGATTGCGGGCATGCTGACTTACCGACACAATCATCGCCGGAAATCATCCGAAGAGGAATAGGAGCTTGCAATCACCCTCATGTAGCACTGGGTCGCTGGCGGCTTTCAGGTCTTTAGGATTTGGGTTTGGCAAGTCGGGTCATGGGGCCGGTCTAAAACAAGTTGGCTCAACAGCATAGCTTCAGGCACGATGGCTGCAACAATGGGAGCATAGACATACATAGAACTTCGAACACATTGTAGAAAATGCTCTGACGCGGACAGCATTGCACTGTCGTACCACACGCCAGCCATCCACAAGCGATCAAGAGCTAACCAGTGCACCCAGAAAGTGCCACATCGTGACTTGCAGCCCCTACCAACTTGCAGAATTGGCAGAGTATTGCGGAGTTGGGGTCTAAGGCTTCTGCGCACCACCTCGCCTGCTCGGCTTCCGTGGACAGAACCTGGCAAGAAAGTCCGACCCGGCTCTGACACCCTTGACTCTTGACCGGATCTTGACCCTTCCCGCATCTTCCCGACTGGCACCTGCAGTGGGCTGATCTCGGGCCCAAGAGGCACGCTGCGTGCCTGCATCAGGGCTTTCAAAAGCCACGCAGGTGTTCCCCCACGTCAGGTGTCCAGTTCTGTCCTGCAGGAAGTCAACAAAGTTGGCTGTGGCAGTCTCGCGGTATTCCCGAGAGAACACCTGGAACACGACTCGATTGGAGCACAACTTCGGTGACTAAGGCGCAACAAGAATCACGACACTTTGCAGCGGTCAACTGAGGCATGCGCGCCAAGGTAGGATGCGAATGAGCATGCAACCAAGGAATCGCCCGGAATGTAGACGAGCTCTTCTGATGTCCTTTCCACCTGAGCGACCGGAAACTGTCATGCCCGGACGAGTTCCCGCAATAACCCGCGCAAGTGCCACCAAAACCATGTGCTACGCAGCATCCAGGTGCGGGGCGGTTTGCTCCCAGATGACACCATTGGCGCCTGTAGTAGCCATAAACTTGGCATAAACTTAGCATAAACTTCGGGAAAAAAGTCGGCTCGGGCGACAAAGCGAATGCGCACATCACTTGCGTGACTGTGCTCCGTGCTTAGCGCGCCCACCAGGCGCTGAGCCATGTCCAATTTGTTCTGGCACCTGTCCGTGAGTCACACGTCGTGTCATGTCCCGTCCCTCAAGCGCTTCAAAACCCTTGGTCTCGTACCGTTCGGCTTCGGCCATGACAGCCTCCTTCTCAGCAATTGCCTGTCGACAGTGATGGAGTCTCGGCCACTCATGATAGCTCATGGCTCTGCCATTCAAGACCCAACTAAAAACCAGCAATGTTGCTTCTCTGCACCCTTTTCTACCGACATTGCGCGCTGTTGGAGTTCGAAGGCGCAATCATTGCAGTCGCCCTTGCAGTCCTGAACATCTCAACGAAGAACCTCATCGACAGCATCTGTCATCCTTCAATGCCTTCCCTTGCGAATCGGTCATCACATCATCAAGATTGGAGGCACGGTGCTCCGTGCAGGAAAATGTGCAGCCACCCTGGCTGGTACGAGCAGAAGGCAGTGGAGCAGCCGAATGAGCATTTCTGATCCTGTCACACATCCGTCAACCCACTGGGTGATTCTCGCCCTTTCTGCCCGTTCACGAAGACCATGACCGTGGCTGTGGCTCATGCGCTCGATTCCAAGCTTCAGGTTCTGGGCCGAAAAGAAGGTCGAGTGGCTGGTGCGGTCAGGGTGCGGTCAGGGTGCGGTCAGGGTGCGGTGTTAGCATCCCTCTGCCTCTTTAGAAATTCTGCTGCAACGTCTTCCACCCAGTCGGACCGGAGTGCATCTGAGTCGTCCTGCCAACCGAGGTGTCCGCCATGGGAAGTGTAGGCTAGCCTTAGCAACATTTCGCCTACAAGCAGCCAGCCTAAGCGCAACATACTTTATGTTAACCCATTGCCCACTGCCTGCCCACAAGGTACAGTACGTTGGGATTGGCACGTATGCTGTCAAATGGAACCCATCCAGTGCTCATGGGATCGTCCGCAGCGCTGACCATCAACAGCGGCACGGAAACATTCTCCACCCGGCGGCAGGAGCTGGCGTGGTAGTAATACTCCTCCACGGAGCTGTACCCAAACATTCGTCGAACAAGTGCTTCATCAATGTCAAAAACTTCCTTTGCAGACTGCAGCCTCAGACTGTCGACCAAAGCATCTGTTCCGTTCCATGCAAGCACTGGTCCGCTGCTGTATTGCGGCATCGCAGGTCGCAAGCATTTCAGCAGATTCCGCGTCACAAAGCGACTATAGACATGTTTCGTAACCCAGCGCTCCCTTGCCTGCCGGCCGCAGCGGACCAGGCAGTGAGTAGCACAAAGGGCTACGCCACCATCCAAGTAGCTGCTTGCAGTTCCATTCTGTTCTGCAAGCGTGTTGACCAAGATGTTGGCGCCCAAACTCCATCCCACTGCAAACACCGGTTTTTGCGTGTTCGATGGCTTGATCAACTGGATTCGCAGAAATTGGATGGCCTCTCTCATGTCCTCTGTGGATCCCCTGTATGCCGAGAAGAAGCGCGGAGTCCGGAGTGAGCAGCCAGCACACCCGCGCATGTTCAGCACGCCAACAGCAAACCCGTGGCTAGTCAACCTTGCTTGACAAAAGAGCGTGAAGCAACACACATCAGGATGTAAAAACGTATGTAACGCATGACTCCGTGCTCCTGGGAAACTTATCGGCCATGTTTTTGACATATCCGCCCTGACTGCTGCCGCCAAGCCCTGGCAGGAGTAGCACAACAGGTGCCTTGCAGCACAAGCTTCGCAAGACAACTCTTGCACAGCACGCTGTCGCAAGCTGTCGCAAGTCGTGATGCAAGGACGCCATTGATCTGAGTCACTCGGCCGTCGATGCCGGGGGCAGCTGTGCCATGGCTGTCCTCCCACCGACTTGTCTTTGACTCAACTCGTGAATCTGATTGTCCAGGCGATGTATAGCGCTGGAAGGCAGATCATGGATAAATGCCGGTCAGAAGGTCCTTCAACACCACGTCGAGGGCCAAAGCGCCGCCTGCTGAACCAGTGCAATCCATGCAGACAGTGCGTGCGCAGTCCTGTGGCTTATGGCATACAGGTCTATTGCCAAGGCACCATCATTGGTCGGGATGATGTGCCGCTTGTATGTCAAGTCTGCAGACGATCGGCACAAAGCTGCAAATAGCGTCCTCGGCGACAGCTTCAGAAAGGCAAAGCGCAACAGCCCGTCGAACGACACAAAGCTGACCAATCAAACGGTTCTACCGAAATAACCATTATTCTAAAGACGGTTTTTGAAACAGGTTCTGATACACCCATGTAGTCGAATTAATCGGCAGGCCAGGCCTGCTGCACTGCTGCAACATGTCTTACAACTAAAGAGTCTTCTCAAGCCATGGCTCATGACATCGCCCTGCTTCAGGAACCAGGGTGGTCGATACCAATGATGCCATGTCCCCAAGTTCTTGATGCTAGCAGAGAGCCCGGCGAGGGGGCTCTCCTCACAAACATAGACACCTCAAGGTAGGCGGCGCTTTTGCAAGCAAGGATCTTGCAATATCTGCAAATGTACCCACAACTTCCTCTGCCTCTGCTGAGTGTCCCATTTTGGTCATCATGCTCAGACTAAGGCCTTAGGGCGCGGCCTTCGCTACCATCAAGTGACGCCGGAACGAAAGTCTCCGGCAAGGACACACCCGGATCAGAGGATCGTGTGGAAATCTTTCCTGAGTCCAGGAGGACCGATGAGGGCCGGAAAGCACAGTGCACTCAGATGTCTGACTGGACCAGAAAGCGAAGTCCACAAGCTCAGGACACGCTTCGGTGGATCTTGCTTGAACAAACTGGTGGTGTGCTTCTCACGAAGTCTGACCCCTCCCTGCGCGGGCTGAAGTTCTGTCTGAGGAATGGCAGACTCGTAAAAGAGCGAGCCAGAAGACCCAAGCTGGCTGCCAAAGCAGAAGGGCGCCACAGCTTGCAGGGCATGCCCGACTAATTTGGCAAGCTCATGGGAGCAGAATGCACATCTGTCACTCACAGAATCGGCGCATTTGAAACAGCATACGTGAACTTGCAAAGGATGTTCTTGGATTGCTGACGCCGATGTCTGTGTACCATGCACCACGTTTAGACTCCAAGCCCCTAGGCCCTAAGCCCTACAGTACATAACGCCCCTGCAAACAATGAACCGAAAAACCTTGCGGTTGGACTTCAGAACCCGCAGCAACGAAACTTACCAGGCCTTCTAAGCATCCGTGGCTGCAGGGTTGTGAGCCAGAATGGGACAACTGACTACACGATACCGTAAACTGCTCGCTGCTGCAAGGCTTCAGCAACTAAACCATGCCTGGTCAAATTCTGCGACCAGCGTGGCAAGCCTGTCCTCCAAGTCCTTGAGAACACCGGGAAAGGCACTGTACAGACATTGAGGGTCTTTAAAAACAGGAGAGGGTTTTAAAAACGATCGGTTGCAGGAAAAACTGCCGCAGGCCACATCCGGAGTCTGATTGAAGTGTCCTTGACCATCGCCGTCACTTCTCTGTGCCTCTCATTGGCCTTTTCCAGCGTCTCGGTCGCTTCCTGCAGCGACCTGCAGAACAGGGCCACAATGCTCCTCACGTGATGGTTCGCTCTCCGGCCTTTTTTTGGGCTCCACTTGAGAGACCACGTCGTAGTACCTTCAAGAGCAGATCTGGCATTGATGTGCCCCTGTACTCGCTTATCCCGTGCTGTGAAGCACCTACCATGCCTACATGTGGCCGTGTAATGTAAGGTATATAGGGCTGCTTCATAAGTTTACAACACGATGCCTGCAAAGTTCGAGCGGGAGATCCTGCATGGGTGGCCAATTCTTGGCAGCCGTCGACGCTCGATCATGTCTGGAGGTTTAGGTTGAGATTGCTCCCCATACTTCCAGATCCCTTGATACATGCCGTTTGCTTTGCAGCGACTTAGCCAACACCCTGAGCAACAAAATGTCAAAAGACCGGGTTGGGATTTCTGAGCCCTTCACCCTCTGCAGAAGTGACATGGACTACTGGTGCTACTGCCATTCTCCTGCTATGCGCGAATCTTGTCGAGATACATCAAAGTCCGCAGCTTGGCACCAGAAATGGGGCTACCACCCGAAGCGAATCTAAGCAGAGCAACTCCTGGCCCAAGAATGAGCAACGAGCATGGGAAGTGCCGGAAGGGCGCTTGATGATGTTGATGACAAACTCGCTGAGGCCTCCCGCTGCCTGGAGAGGGAAGGGCGAGTGGGCTACAAGATTCCAAGATGCGGGCTCAGTCGACCTCACACCCAGTCCCGGCCAATGGGCTGCAGAAGCAGCACGTCACAGAAATGCTATGGGGGTCGTCCCGTGAGAGTAGGGCCTGGGTTAGGATGCTTCCTTGTCTTTGGCAGTTGAGAATTATTTGAGAAATTGATTCTTGCGCGTAGTCAGCCAACTGGCCAACAGGCGCAGCTTCAACTGTAGTGAAGCCCTGCCTCTGCAAGAACAGCAGACACCTCGAGAACCCTGAGCCCTCCTAATCTCCCCCTAAACCCTGATTTTGGGGCTCCCAAACTCCGCTCCCCCCCCAAAAAAAACTGCCTGCGACTTCTTCTTCATGTTCTCTGGGAAGAAGGCCTCGCCTAGCCCATCCTTCAGCTTCCGAGCCTGGCACCCCACAAACTACTTATACATGGATGCATTTTTAAGGCGAGTTTTAGGGTCATTTTTTGTCTTTTTCTGGTTTTTGGCTTTTTGTGATATTGATGTGGAGGCCAAACTTTCAGTGATTGCTACGCTGCTGCAACACTGACTTGCAATTGTGTGTCTCCCAGCTGGGCCTCGTCCACGTTCTGGGGCGGTACTTTTCCTTCGTCAATCACCAGCTTGAAGCCCTTGCAGTTGCAGGCGCGCTGAAGACAGTAGACTACGGCACTTTGCTACTGAGTTACTGCTGGTAGCGGTCCTTGTACAGTCCTGTATAGAGAGGGAGAGAGGGAGAGAGAGAGAGAGAGAGAGAGAGACAAAGAGAGACAAAGAGGGAGAGAGAGAGGGAAGCTGGCACTGCAGCGGTCGCGATGTCTTCAGAATCGCAGCCCACCGCGAAGAGACCCCAGAGTGTGATGCTTCGCAGCATGCGAGAGCTATTTCAACCCCTTACCCCTAAGTGCAGATATGGCATGATATCTCACTGAGAGCCTCCTGGTAAAATCCTCAAAATGGTGCCCTGGCCTTGAGTTGGGCGAGGAACTTGTTCGGGTCGGTCATCATCTTCTGTATGCCCTTCCAGGTTCTGTCCTTGCTTCGGGCGTTTCGGGCCTAGTGACGAATCACTTGTCTAGAGATCTGCATTGGCATCCGGTTGCTCCTTCGGCCTGCCCTTCTTGTCGATGTCAATCAGAGGATCGATTCCAGCCTTGCGCATGGCTTGGGAATGGAGGGAGCGGCTCAGGATGGCTCAGAGGGCAGAGTGTGCAGGAGACAGGCAGGACAGGCATGGAGACAGGTTGAACATGGCGCGGGGCTGAACAGTGCTCAGGGTGCCGCCAGCAGGTGCAATGCGGTCTCACACACTGTTGCAACATCTGTCGGAGGTCGCGTCAAGGCCTAAGACAGATGCTAGGCAAATGACAAGGCCCTGTGCAGAATACCCAAGGCCCAAGCCTTAAGCTCATTGAACTCCTTCTTGTCCAGGACATCCAAGGCTGCCTCGTATAGCTCTTATAGACAGTTGCGGGTCTGGGAGCACTCAGATCTTGGCAGGCCTCAGCCTGCTGTACCAGCGGCAAGGCAGCATCCAAATCCTCAGCGAGTCTGCAACATCAACATCCACAACATGCTAGGTCGCACTCTTGTTCTGGAGGTTGTCCATAAGTCCCAGGTCAGCTTCTGTAAGCGCACTGCTCGCATGCAGTCTTCCTTCTTCTCAGCGACCTGCGATGCGTACTTAAGCTCGGTCTCAAGTCCAGAGTGGCACGGTTGCGAACCCTAATTGCAGCGATGTTTGTTCGTTCTTCGGTCTTTGCCTGTTGCGCGATCTGCGCGCACTTCACGGCCTCAATGTTTGCCTTCTCTGCCTGCAGCATAGGGCCGCGCTGAAACACACCGGCTCCGATCATTCCGAGATCAATGACATCGTATCTGCTGTCCCCAAAAGCCCAAGCCCAAGTGTCCCATGTGCCTCTGTGTTCACTTTCGTCTTCTCGCGGCCAACCTCAGGGACAACGTGGCAGGTCGTGGGCCCATCGTGCGCAGTTGGGCGCCTTGACTGCAGACATCGCTGTAAGCCACTGCAAGCATCATGCAATGGAGCCTCATCAGCAAATGTGTCGGCTTTCTCAGCTTTTTCTTTCACCACGACCTGAACGACACAATATGCCACAATATGCTGCCGCGACAGCATTCAGGTCAAAGTAGGTCAAACTATTGCGAGGTCGTGACAGCTTTTTCCTTTAAGTCTTCCTCCAGGTTCGCGACCTGAGCACGGCCCGACCGAAGACAAGGCCAGGCAGGCGGCTAAGACGGCGAGATCTTCATAATTTATAATCGACAGGGAGTTGTTCGAATGTAAGGTCGAGTTGGAGGTACCTGCCAACACTCTAATGGCTCAAAAAACTATAAGGGTGACTCAGGGATCCTGAGCCAGAGAAACCCTCGAGTGCGAAGAACGATGCTTGCCGGGCCTCTTCTTGCGTGGCTCGAAGCTTGATAAGGCCGCTGGACAACCTCGCCTTCTTGTCCGCGAGCGCAAACACCTGTAAATATTGGGGGGATGGGTTTAAAAAGGGCCTATAGGTGTCAAGTGGACAGTGCATCTCAACAAAAGCAGCTGCCACCCGCACGACTTCGCATGCCCAGGGGAGCCTGCTTGCCAAGCATGCCTGAGTAGAGCTTGATGAGCTCCAAGAAGCTTTTGGGCGTAGTGTAGGCGAAGCGCTTCTCCTCCTCTTGCGCCGGAATGATGGTTTTTCTCGCCGGTTGACAGAGGATGCAATCCAACAAGGGGGGCGCGGCTCATTGTTATTGCACAGAGGCCAGCAAGTCACTAAGGATGCCAGTTCTCACATCCGATTTCCCAAGAACCTGCGGTATCTTGGGGTAGATGCACAAGAGCTCTGGTCACTCTGGTCCCTAACACTACTTGAGAAGGTTGGGATTGCTGCCAGGATCGAAGGGTTTTCCAAAGATCCTGGCGCACGCGGCATGGCTGCTGGTAAAATCCCAGACTATCACAAAACAAAACCGAGATGCACTCGAACCCCTAGCCCACTGAGAATATCAGCTGCATGAAAGTTACATGCAACCCTGGATCGGCAGCTGCCAGACGAATTACCTTTACAACGTGGGCATCTTGCGCGGGCGGCTGCAACCTGGAAAGAGATCTCAATTCCCAGCAATGAACGAGTCTGCGACCATTGAAAACAACAACAACAATAACAATAACAATAATCGGAAGAAAACTAATCATAAACTACTATAATAACTACCAATTGTTAGTTTTGAATCATGCATGGTTGCCTCACCGCGGCGGCTTCGCTGAGAGCGGCCGACTTGGTGCGGGCCGCGCAGCCGAGCGCGGCCGCTCGGGCAAGGGTCTCCTGCCACGCACCATGCTGGGAGGTTCATGATACTTATCGAGTTTAGGGTTTAGGTTTTTTTACAGCCCCAATGACCTCTTTAGGGTTTAGGGTTTAGGGTACCTATTAACCAATTATAACTGTACTTAAAACCCACTTAAAAACCCCTTAAGTGCCCGGTTAGAAGTACAGTTATTGTTGGGTTAATAAGTACCCTGAACCTCCAAGTGCGGATCCTAAGTATTCCTGTTGTTCTTACTAGTATCACTTGTAGGACCCCCCCTCTTGGAACCCCGCCCTGGGAGACCTCAGCATTCTACACCACGTTGGGCCGGCCCGGCTGCCGAGGCGGCGCACGCAAGTGTCTACAATTTACAATTTAATGGCCGTTATTTGTAGCATGATTTGTCATGGGACATTTATACACGGGTGACACAGTATGATAGGGAGCTGATACGCAACGACACTGTATCAACCCCTGTGCCCCAAATTTGTGGCCCTCTGAAGACCTCAGACGATAGGGTTCCGTTTGGGTGTCCTTCTTTGCTTTTAGAAAGGGGGATAGCATTACTAGAGCAGCTAGCCTAAGCTGTAGCATAAGGGGCACCCCTGATTGAGACAGCGGCCTCAGTTTGCCGTCCGTGCCTTGTCGCTGAGCTGGGCCTCGCGTCCGAGGGCCTGCGCCCCGAAGACTGAATCGACGCTCTTTTGCTGCCATGCCCAGCTTTCCCTGGTGGATGTGAGGGGGCACATGCAGCAGCGACACTCGGGCCTGAAGCTGAAGCCGGCTCCATGCTCGCGAGGTCCATCGGACGAAGCGGGCCTTGGCAAGCTTCTCAAGGCTTGGAACATCCGCTTCGGAGAACAACGCATGCAAGGAATCAATGGCCTCTCTCCACCCACAGGATCGCCGGAGGCTGTGGTGGCTGGCCTTCCCCCGTCTCTCCCATCTCTCTCCCGGGCTGATTCTTTTTTGGATTACGCTCCTCTGGTTGTCTGACGAATGAAGCACTCTGGCCTAGGGGCACCAGCAGGGCCGTTCGACTGCCTCAAGCATGCAGGGGCTTCATCTTCATGAGCTAGAGAGGTCGGACGCAGGCAATAACCTGTACAGACTCTGTGCAGCGGGCCCAGACTTCCAAAGCATGAGCGTTCCACCGTCGATGAGGGTCTTGCGAGCACATTGCAGATGATGCTCTCAATCTACCGAGTCTGAGAAGCTGCCATGGGCTCCCAATCCACTGCGCTGCGCCTGGCCCATGAGCGATGGCCGGAAGGGAGCCTTCTTCTTGTCCTCGGTTGGAGGGCCGGACGAGGGCAAAATCATAATTTTCCGGCTTGGTGTCAGGCCTTGCTATCGCTCCGCTTGTCGTCCCTGCAACTCCAGGCGTTGAGTTATCGTTTCTTTCTCAATGGTCGTCATGCAAATCAAAGCGTCTGAGAGCTGTGATCAGAGCATTAGTGGTTGCAAAGCGTGCGCCTCTGACCCTTCGACAAAGCCTGAAACACTGCGTTGCCAACGTCTGGCACCGGCAAAATCTGGCAAATGCCGAGGTCACTTGAGCTCTTGAGGCTGCGGCGAAGGCCAGTTCAGACTCGTTGCGTTGAGCGATGTATGTCGAACGCGCAGGCGGCACCCTGCATTGATTCCCGGAGTACCGGCGGTGTGGTGGCATCATGTGGCATCACAACGAAGGTCTACAGGCGCTGCTCTGAAGAGGCCTGGCATCCAATGAAGTATGAGAGCTGTCCGCATGGTGAAGCGACGGGCGCCTTCAGGCCATGATTTCGAGGGCAGCTGAAGCTGGAATAGAATTTTAGCCACAGTGGACTGGCATGCTCCGGCCTGGGAGCCTCGAACTCCTGCTCCTGCAAGTTGGAGGCACATGTGTACGGCAGGAATATACAGCAAGCTCCATCAAAGTCCCGGAAACCGAGGCAGCGACACGATGCTGCAAAGCGTGCAGGATGTCGTCCTCAGAGTGGTGTGCCTGAAATGTCATGGCGAAGCAGCCCAGATATCCTGCTTGGTACAACAGTTTCGTGCCCATGCCTCTGCCTGCAGCAGACGCAATCGCTCCTCAGCCATATGCCTGTAGGAGAGTGAGAGAGATAATAGACCCAGCCAATGCAGCAAGATTTCATGCGGCCAAGGAAGATGCCGAGCAAAGCGTGCTTTCACTCCAAGCTGCAGATAGCTAGCATCAACGCCAGCTGCCGCGGCACTTTGCAGAGCAGCCATGAGGGCCTGACGCTGAACATCACCGACCACTGAACGCCCTCCCCGACTCGGCAGCTAATGGACTTTGGGAGGTTCCCCCTTATACTAACAATCCTTAACAGGGATTCTAATGGGGGGTACTAGAATCCCTATTAAGGACTGCTAGTATAAGGGGGAACATCCCAAAGTGGACTGCTGTTTTTTCTGACCAGCCTGGATGTTGCGGCCATCCATGGCTCTCGAAAGGGCAGCTTCGGCTTCTGCAGAATGAAGCAGGGCTTGAGCTGCCCGCAAGACCTCTGAATTCAGGCAAACTGCATTCAATGTTTCAATTCTGTTTTTGTCAAAATCCTCGCCCCAAGGCAACTAGGCTTGAAATGAGGTCTTCGACTTCCAACGACAGGCGAGAGCTGTGAATTTTGGCTGGGGGTCTTCTTACCCAAAAGGCAATGTGTAGCCACACCGTCCGGCCGTTCAAAACCTACCTGAATGTTTGCACACGCATAACTTTCCAGCCATTAGCCCCCACAAACATGTCGGCCTGTCTGCACACACAAGTTCTAGCGCTGCAACTTCACTCGTATGCAACATAGATCAATGTGACAGTGTAATAGCAGCCGTACTGGCACGCAATTGTGCTTCGAGCGAACCGTACAACACCTCCGATGTTTTACGAGACAGCAGATGTCGAGTCAAAACTGGTTTCACTCATCACGAGCGCAAGCTCCCTACACCCCTAAGAACCCTAAGCCCCTAAGCCCTTAAAAAACCGACCCCTGAACCCCCAATCAATTAATCCCGAGCCCTAAACCCATGAACCCCTAAACCCCACAGTAAGCCCCGAAGCCCCTACACTCGCAAATCCTAAACTCCAAACTCCCTCAGTCCCTAATCCTAATCCCCTGAACCCCACTTAAACCCTGAACCCCTGAACACGTAATGCCTTAAAATCCTAACCCCGTAAAGTCTTTAGCCTAAACCCGAAATCCCTATATGCCTATCACCTCGCAAGCCCCCAGAGCCCTAAAACCCTTAAGCCCTACCCCACACCGCCCCACGCCCCACTGCGCGCCACTGGACACCACCGCAACCCACCCTGCGCCACAACACACGACCACGCCCACACATTGCTGCTCCGGCTGCGGCTGCGGCTGCAGCTGCGGCTGCGACCGCCGCCGCCGCCACCGCTACTGTTGTTCTTGTTGTTGCTTGCGGGTGGAATCCATATTGAAATATTGATTTCATCACGTTGGTCCCACTCCCTCTCCCCAAACAAGGGCATTCCTGTAAACCGTTCAATTTGGAACCCGTGCCCGTCCTATGATAGAATCAATACAGTAGCCCGCAGCTTTCCGGACCTTGTCCGACCCTACCTGTTAAAGCAAGAACTCAAGCCTGGCTCTGCTAACTTTCGTGGCATTGCGCGCCTCCTCCGAGACTCTCAACGCTCGCGCTTTCGCGAGGGTCGCTTCCACACGCACCAGGTCTCTGTTCTCGATGGCAGCCAGAAGCTCCATCTCTGCCTCCCGGCGCTCCGGCCCATGCTGCGCAAGCTCGCGGAGGTCCTGCGGAAGCAGTGAATTCCAAACCCTGCACTATTTTCATGTATCCACAGCAAGTCCAGAAACATTGCAAACTTAATCCCAAGCACCTGCAGCGCCGCCTCTGCATCCTGGATGAGGTTCGCGTCCACGTCGGCCTCACGTGCTCGGTGAAGAGCCGCCTCCAGAGCCTCCGAAAAACTGGGGTCTCGGACGCAGAAAGGCTTGGAAATACTTGAAGCAGCTAGATCGTCTCAGTAAATCAGTTCCAGGGAATTTAGGGCTATTATGCACAGCTTCTGAGGGGCACAACTCCCTCTCGACATTGAATCACTTGCCTGCACGTCCTCGCCGGCCATGGCTTCAATCAGCTGCTCGGTCGCCTGCTCAACCTCGAATCGCTTCATGCGCAGCAGGGCCTCACGTGCCCGAGCGCAAACCTGGCTGGGGCGGGCGTCAACTGCCTGATTCAGCAAGCGACTACAATAATTCAGTGCGGTTTACGATCTTAGGGGTACCATGCGGTACTATTGGGGCCCTTATGATACGGACATCCTACTATTTCGGGGGTCTATTTTAGGGGCCCCCTCATGTTCGTAAACCCCCAGAAGTGAATCCAGATCATACAATGGCTGCAGGCCTCCGCATCGGCCTTGGCGGCCTCCGCACGGATCAGGGCGGCTGTGAGCGTAGCCATATCCTCAGTCCACCACTCGTGGAAGCTTCAGTGAGGCGTGCTCAGCTCACAACGGCGGCATTGAGCCGCATCGTTTTGAGCTGGGTTAATTCTCAACTGGAACAGCTTAGCAGGCTTCAGATCGACTTCTGATATCATCTCAGGGTCTCCAGTGAGGGCAGCCAGCAGCTCAGCCTCGACCTGACGCCGTGTGAATCACCACACGCACGTATACGCACGTCATGGCACAGCACGGCACAATCCCCCCCCCCCCCCCCCCGCGCCTCTCTGCGATGTCGTTCGGCCTCCTGCTGCGCCTGGAGGGCGGCTAGCTTTTGCTCGCCTGAGAAGGCAATGGCAAGTGCACAACCATCAGCCGTCAACACATGTTGCTTGACAAAGTCCTGAACCCTTACCCGTAGCCTTGGAGCAGGATCTCCTCACTGACTCCACCACTTCTTGCTGTTGATAATGCCTTCTGCAAGGCCTGGGTGCTCACATCATGCTCACCATGCTTCAACATCTGCAGCACGATGACCCAGGCACGTTCAGGCAGGGGCAGGTAGATCGGACAACTTCATGGCCGCCAGCAGCTCGTTCAGCGCCAGAAGGGAGGCCCGCGCTGCTTCTTCCTTTCGGAGGTTGGAGGCGCTTGCTTTTTTCGTAAGGTGTTGGCCCTGGCGTGCTAGCGTTGGCCCCCCCCCGCCTGGCTTTAAATGCTCAAGTACAGCATTTCTAACTGTTCAGAGGCTCTGCAAATGCTGTAAGTTCTTCAACTAAATATGCAAGGTCGGTATGCTGCAAGTTACAACAATTTCTGAAGTTCACAAGCTCAAAACGCTTTAAGTAGCATCGTTTGTGATCGTTCACAGGCTCCAGATGCGTGAATTACGTAGTCTTTGAACGGGCTGCTGCAAACACATGCCTGGCTGAGATTCTGTGCACACGCCCCGTAAGATGGTTTGAACGGGTGGAGGTTTCGCTCAACAGAGCGGAGTGGAGGGGTCGAAGCCCGCCCGTTTGCAAACACCATGCTCGTATGATTGGGTTTGGAAAGGATTTCATTTAGATCTTGAAGGAATGTCCACTGTCAGCACGACATTCGAGCTGGGCGCACGTGGCCAGTGTTTTTCGGCAGGCAGAGTTTTCTTGCCGCTGCCGCAGGAGTCATTGCGAGCTGTAAGCTCAAATAGCCTGGCAGAATGCAAGCGCTGGATCTACACATCTTTCGGAAATTCGGCTGCAGTATGATGCTTGTGGGCTCGTGGGCCCTTGAACAGACCAGGCGGCTGATGCTCATGATGCTCGGGGGCCCTTGAAAAGACCGAGCAGCTGATGCAAGTGTACTCGACCGATCTTTCTACGGGACCCGCGAGCATCATGAGCATCATGAGCATCAGCCGCCCGATCTTTCCACAGGCCTGCGAGCATCATGAGCATCTCTCTAAGGGGCCCGCGAGCATCACGAGCATCAGCCGCCCGGTCTGTTCCAGGGGCCCACGAGCCCACAAGCATCATACTGCAATTTCCGAAAGATCCCGTGGAAAGATCAGGCGGCTCACCTTATCACGTCCTGATTCCTCAGGCAACTTGGCCCCCCCCCCTCCCCCCCCCCTCCCCCCCCCTCCCCCCCCCCCCTCCCCCCCCCCCTCCCCCCCCCCCCCCCCCAGTGTGACCTTAGACCCCTGAGATGTCAGGCCAAAGGTCCTCCCAAGTCCTGTGGGGCCCAAGGCAAGAAGGTTGTAAAGGCAAAATCCCGCATAGCTTTCGTGACAAAGCGAAGCTCGAAAGTGAAACCAGACCGTGTCACATGAAGGTTCAAATGGCTACAGTCGAGAGGCTCTGGAACCGGACTACCAGATTCAGGCAAAGTTTGGGTTTTCGCTGGTGGCAAGTGCGTTTTTGGGAGCCCCGAAAAGTACTTCTGGCTAGGCTTCGGCCGTAGATTTAGGCCACGCCCCCTAAAATCTAACGTATCTGGTTGGGAGGATGTGTTCGATTAGTTTTGGTGCGGTCTGCGGCCCTCTGGTCAATCAGTTGGCTGCAAAATTTCAGGCGGGAAAGTTTGGGCCTTGAACCCCAAAAGCTTTCAGAAAGGGCGGCTGTGGACGCTTGCTTGTTGTAGAGAAAGGGTTCAGCATTTTGCTTTCACTTCGTCGAAACAGACGAGTGTACACAAACGGCTTCAGGCTTGACATTAGCCTCAGTCCAGCAAAGCGGATAACACGAAAGCTTGGGGCCTTCAAGCCACCCAAAGGCTTGAATCCTCTGGGTTCCAGGATTAATTAGCCGACGTGACACAAAGAAGGTTTTTACCGAACCCATAGATGGGCCACCTCAGCTTGCTTTCTGGCGGCCTCTGCTTCTTCCTCCTGCATGACCGTCTGACATGGAAGGCTGTAGCGGATCGGTTTTGCAGCAGCAAGTGGCCATCTCTGCGGCCTCCAGCCTTCGTGCCATTTCTTCCTCCTGTGGGTTTTGTTGTGAGGGACCACATATGCCAGCTCACTTTGCTGCTAGCTGCGTGCACACCTCGGCTTTTCTTCTGGCTGCTTCCGCTTCCTCCTGCGCATGGTCATGTGATGCAGAGCAAAGAGCAGGCAAGAACCAAGTAATGTTGGCCACCTCGGCCAGCTTTCTGGCAGCAGCTTCTGCTTCTTCCTGCTGCATGTTCCATGTGCCATCTATATCCAGCGGATCCAGCAGTTTTGCAGCAGCATGTGGCCATGTCTGCAATGGCAACACGACAGTGCAGGTTGGAAGACGACTGGCCTGCAGCCTTCGTGCCTCTTCCTCCTGTCGGTTTGTTGCGAGGGACCACATATGTCAGTTCGCTGTGCGGGCTGCATGCACGCCTCGGCTTTTCTTCTGGCGGCTTCTGCTTCCTCCTGCGCATGGTCATGTGATGCAATCCTAAGAGCAGGCAAGAACCAAGTGATTTGTGAGAGCCATGACGGCCACCTCGGCTAGCTTTCTGGCAGCAGCCTCTGCTTCTTCCTGTTTCATGTTCGATGTGCCATCTATATCCGGTCTAACAGTCTTGCACCTGAATGTGGCCATGTCTGCAACACAACAGCATAGACTGGCAGACGACTGACCTGCAGTCGTCGTGCCGCCTCTTCCTCCTGTCGGTTCGTGAAAAGGGATCACGTATGTCAGTTCACTGTGGTGCTGCTAGCTGCGTGCACACCTCGGCCTTTCTTCTGGCTGCTTCTGCTTCCTCCTCCGCATGGTCGTGTGCTGCAGTGCCAAAAGCAAGCAAGAACAAGGCTTGTCAGAGCAAAGGCGGCGACCTCAGCTAGTTTTCTGGCAGCAGCCTCTGCTTCTTCCTGTTGCATGTTGCATGTGCCATGCTATGCTATGTCTACCAATGTTGCACCAGCACGGGGCCATGTCTGCAGCACAACAGCGTTGCTTGGAACACGACTGGCCTGTAGCCTTCGTGCCTCTTCCTCCTGTCGGTTTGTTGTGAGGGACCACATATGTCAGTTCGCTGTGCGGGCTGCATGCACGCCTCGGCTTTTGCTTTTCTTCTGGCGGCTTCTGCTTCCTCCTGCGCATGGTCATGTGATGCAATCCTAAGAGCAGGCAAGAACCAAGTGATTTGTGAGAGCCATGACGGCCACCTCGGCTAGCTTTCTGGCAGCAGCCTCTGCTTCTTCCTGTTTCATGTTCGATGTGCCATCCATACCCGGTCTAACAGTCTTGTACCTGAATGTGGCCATGTCTGCAACACAACAGCATAGATTGGAAGACGACTGGCCTGCAGTCGTCGTGCCGCCTCTTCCTCCTGTCGGTTCGTGAAGAGGGACCGAGTACGTCAGTTCTCTGTGGTGCTGTTAGCTGCGTGCACACCTCGGCCTTTCTTCTGGCTGCTTCTGCTTCCTCCTGCGCATGGTCGTGTGCTGCAGTGCCAAGAGCAAGCAGGAACAAGGCTTGTCAGAGCAAAGGCGGCGACCTCAGCTAGTTTTCTGGCAGCAGCCTCTGCTTCTTCCTGTTGCATGTTGCATGTGCCATGCTATTCTAGCACGGTTGCACCAGCACGGGGCCACGTCTGCAACACAACAGCGTTGTTTTGAACAACACTGGCCTGCAGCCTTCGTGCCGCCTCTTCCTCCTGTCGGCTTGTTGTGAGGGACCACATATGTCAGTTCACTTTGCTGCTAGCTGCGTGCACACCTCGGCTTTTCTTCTAGCTGCTTCTGCTTCCTCCTGCACATGGTCATGTGATGCAGTCCTAAGAGCAGGCAAGAACCAAGTGATTTGCGAGATCCATGACGGCCACCTCGGCTAGCTTTCTGGCAGCAGCCTCTGCTTCTTCCTGTTTCATGTTCGATGTGCCATCTATATCCGGTCTAACACTCTTGTACCCGAATGTGGCCATGTCTGCAACACAACAGCATAGATTGGAAGACGACTGGCCTGCAGTCGTCGTGCCGCCTCTTCCTCCTGTGGGTTCGTGAAGAGGGATCACGTATGTTAGTTCACTGTGCTGCTAGCTGCGTGCACACCTCGGCCTTTCTTCTGGCTGCTTCTGCTTCCTCCTCCGCATGGTCGTGTGCTGCAGTGCCAAAAGCAAGCAAGAACAAGGCTTGTCAGAGCAAAGGCGGCGACCTCAGCTAGTTTTCTGGCAGCAGCCTCTGCTTCTTCCTGTTGCATGTTGCATGTGCCATGCTATGCTATGTCTACCAATGTTGCACCAGCACGGGGCCATGTCTGCAGCACAACAGCGTTGCTTGGAACACGACTGGCCTGTAGCCTTCGTGCCTCTTCCTCCTGTCGGTTTGTTGTGAGGGACCACATATGTCAGTTCGCTGTGCGGGCTGCATGCGCGCCTCGGCTTTTCTTCTGGCGGCTTCTGCTTCCTCCTGCGCATGGTCATGTGATGCAATCCTAAGAGCAGGCAAGAACCAAGTGATTTGTGAGAGCCATGACGGCCACCTCGGCTAGCTTTCTGGCAGCAGCCTCTGCTTCTTCCTGTTTCATGTTCGATGTGCCATCTATATCCGGTCTAACAGTCTTGTACCTGAATGTGGCCATGTCTGCAACACAACAGCATAGATTGGAAGACGACTGGCCTGCAGTCGTCGTGCCGCCTCTTCCTCCTGTCGGTTCGTGAAGAGGGACCAAGTACGTCAGTTCTCTGTGGTGCTGCTAGCTGCGTGCACACCTCGGCCTTTCTTCTGGCTGCTTCTGCTTCCTCCTGCGCATGGTCGTGTGCTGCAGTGCCAAGAGCAAGCAGGAACAAGGCTTGTCAGAGCAAAGGCGGCGACCTCAGCTAGTTTTCTGGCAGCAGCCTCTGCTTCTTCCTGTTGCATGTTGCATGTGCCATGCTATTCTAGCACGGTTGCACCAGCACGGGGCCACGTCTGCAACACAACAGCGTTGTTTTGAACAACACTGGCCTGCAGCCTTCGTGCCGCCTCTTCCTCCTGTCGGCTTGTTGTGAGGGACCACATAATGACCACATATGTCAGTTCACTGTGATGCTAGCTGCGTGCACACCTCGGCTTTTCTTCTAGCTGCTTCTGCTTCCTCCTGCGCATGGTCATGTGCTGCAGAGCAAAGAGCAGGCAAGAACCAAGTAATTTGTTGAGAGCCGTGGCGGCCACCTCGGCTAGCTTTCTGGCAGCAGCCTCTGCTTCCTCCTGCTTCAAGTCAACATGTTCCAGGCTGGCATGTTTTATGTCCTACATTCCGATGACATGGGTTAATCAACGAGAATCCGTGTGCCATGGCGGAAGTAATTACATATCAGCAGAGGAGTTGCGCATCAGCACAGAGCATTGCCCAGGAGTGTAATTTAGCAAAATACGAACATGGCCACAAGTGTCGGACTTGCAGTGGACCCCAGTGGTTTTGGCACTCACTTACCAAAGATTGAAACTATGAACCATGAGCCAATCTCGATACCGATGCCGGGAGGAAATCAACTCACTTCTGAACTCAGCCGACTTCTCTTATTGCTACTTTCCGGAAGGTGCCGTCTGTGGTGTTGCCTGTCAGTCGGCTGTTTGTGCTTTAGAAACTCAACAACAATCTGCTGTTGGGAAGAGACGCCTAGAAGTGATGTCCCATGTGGATGCTGATGCATATGGGTTTACGAAAATAAGGGACCCTAGTATAGACCCCCAAATAGTAGGATCCCGGATCCCCTTATAGTAAGGACCCCAATAAGGTACCCCTTATATCGTAAATCCCCATATTAAGAAAGAGCGATAGGAGATGAAGAGACTGCAACACAGCGCTAACTGGCACTTCACCATCCTCCAGTCTTCGTGCTTCTTCTTCCTCCTGCGGGACAGCTTGTTTCGGGAGGGCGTGAGTGTCAGAGCACTTCTCAACAAGTGCGATTGCAACCCAACTCGTTGCCTCAAGCTTCTTTCTGGCCGCCTCCGCTTCCTCCTGCTTGGGCCCAGCGGTTTGTTGAGATTCACTATGCTATGTTGGCTGCATGCACACCTCGGCTTTTCTTCTGGCCACCTCTGCTTCCTCCTGCACATGCTTAGGTGCCACAGTGTCTGTTTGCAGCCAACAAGGTTTGCAACATGATCACGACGTGCCTGCAGTTTTTGGGCTGCTTCTTGCTCCTGTCAGCTAGTCGTGAGAACCCACATGCTGGGCTGCCTGAGATGGGGCAGGATCTTAACTCTTGGTATGCCAAAGAGGCCACCAGGTATATGCGCTCACCAATAGACTTTCTGAGGCACCCTATGTACACTCACCAGAACCATAACAAATCCTGAACACTAAACCCTTACTTCCTGTGTCTTAGCTTGTCGATAAGGGGTCTACGGCCAATCAGCACCCGAAAACCGAACCAAGAATATCCGCTAGCTAACAAGTGGTCGCTATTCCGGGAAGTCTTGTGATTGGCTGAGAACGCTTCAGTCTTCTTCTTGCCCATGGCTGAAGTGACACTCCGCTTCCCACCCCCCCCAACAGAATTTGACACACTTTCGCGGCAAAGATGGCCAACAACGTCGGCCCTCTTATGAGACAAAGGTCCGCCAGTGTTCCCGGGTGTAGAACAACCCCCCCCCTCCCAAACATGCCCCCTGACTGGCAGATGGTTGCAGTTGTCTCCTGCAGCTCGCGCAGGCGCTCCCGCGCTTTCCTGGGATCTGCGGGCGAAGCAACTTTAAGGATTCTCTCTCGGGGTCCTCGAGGCGTTGCGGGAGTTCTTTGCTTTTGCTCTCGTTTCTATTCTTCTTGTTTGGGGGTTGGGGTTTCTGTGGACTTTAGAGGGTCCAATGGCCTGTTTGAATGACCTGTTTTCATGAAAGTGCCGTCCTTTCAAGCTTCTGAGCCTAAGCCCATTTTGCGTGCTGAGCCATTGAGTCAGGCCTCTCCAAGAGGTCGACACCAACTCCCGCCACTTCAGCATCCTTCAGGGCCTTGTCAAGAACCTGCCAGAGCTGCTCCACGAGCAGGAACATGGGCAGGAACATGCAAGAACGACTTCCGCAGCAGTGAAGAAAGCCAAAAATGCTCAAGAGGGTTGATATGGATAGCCGCACTAAATCGTAAGTAGCATGCTTAGTATGGGTAGTTACAGTGACGCTTCACGTCAAGGCAAAAGCTGTGCCAGAGCCTCTCACGTGTCTCTCGTGTACCCTCACCGTAGGAATCCCAAGGGCTTAGGGTTTAGGGTTTAGGATTTCCAAGGCATGTACATACTAATTATTGGGGAGGGGCGGGAAAAAGAGACGAACAACAGCAACTCAAGAACCATCTTCATCAAAAACTCACAAGACGTGCACAAAATTAACAGTGTAGCCTATGTAGCAAATAAAAAGATAGCAACAGCTGTAGCGATACAGAAGCACGAGACATGATGACAGTGCAGGACACGTGCTCAATCATAGGATCGAAGGCTCAACATGTCGCGGGTGGATGGCTTTTGAGCCGTCACTTGCAACAACAGACCATGTTTGCGGGCGCGACGAGTCCACGTCTACCCGCTGCCTGTAACCACCCGCAAGGACCGACCTTGCATCTTGAAGCAGGAATCCCGCAAAGCCCCCCTAAAAAGCCCTGTCCACGACTCCACGACCCTGCAGGTACGGGGCCTCAGAGTCTCGGCCAGCCACGGCTTTGGACAACGCTTTCATGCTCAGCCCGTACGCGCTCAGGTTCGCATCGTCCTGACGTTCATTTGCCATGAGCTTGCTCTGCTGCCACGCCAGGTACCGCGGTTGCAACATTCAGCATGACTCTCTTAGTGGTAGTAATATCTGGCGCAAATAGCTGTTAAGCGGCAGTCTTCACGCTTCAAATATAGTTCATTTGTTCTCGATTTGAAGCCGGATGCCCTTGTAGGCACCTTTTATAGCAGGATTCCGGCCATTGTCAATCGACGCAGCATTTCCGGGACTGCTGCTGCCAGATAGAATTCCGGGGACTTGGGTTCTTTCGAGAAATCTGGAGACACTTGGCAGTACTCGATGCGCAGTGCACCCAGCTCTCGGTGACAGTCGGGCTCAGGATTTGGGAGCCCACGGTTCTGGAAAGGCTGCCGTTCCACCAACGAAGTTTCGTCTGAAATGTCCTTTCCTAAAATGTGTGGCACAATGCCCTGGTATGATGTTAACACAGGCTTGCCTCGGACTCACGGATTGGAGCGATGTAAAGGCCGCTCGTGATGATCATGGCGGTGATGATGATGACAATGACCCATGCATGACGTGGCAAGAAGCCATCATAAACAGATCCCAGCGCCTGACCCCAAGAACCCCTAACAGCTTGTGTCAGCCGTCTGTAGCGGAGTCCTGTTTGCCGACATTGTTCTTGAACTTCCTGTCATCACGCAGGCGATGCACGAGAGTCAACTCTAGCAATGACAAGGCACCAACCCACAGAGACGTGGTCATGATCCCATGATCCACTTCGACTGCTTCAACAGGAAAGGCGCACTGTGCTGCTTGAAGGATGGCCGTCGCTTTTGCCAGGGCTTCGACCTCGCCAACCACGATCGGCCGCGGAGTCCGACTCGGTCTGGCTCTCAAGTTGGGGCTCCCCACTGCCGCAGGACTTCTGCTGCCTCTGCACTCCACGGATATTTCGAGCGGGCGCGCGCGCGTGCATTGCCTAACCCTTGAGATCCCCGAGAGTCGAAAGAATGAGAGAATCGAAAGAGCATTGTGGGGGGAGAGAGCAGTTGAGTCCAGCCCACTACTAAGGGTGGGGAGAATCCGAGCCTTCGCTGTGGAAGGAAGCGCTGAAGGGCAAGGCCGGCCTTGGAAAGCTCTGAAAGCTTTGTTTGGGTCTCTCAGGCCGCGGAGCAGGGAAGGCGTGCGATGGCAAATGGTTTACTCTTCACTCTTGTCTGGTTGTCAGATGCTCATTCTGAGTGCTATTCGATGTTTGCATCTTTCAACGTATGAACTGCTGCTATCTTCTGTGCATATCATCTAGAAAGATATACTCACACACACCTGCACGTAGAGTTCAGAGTGAAAAAGCCGGGCTTTGGGCAGGCTCTTCGGAGGCGACCGCAATGGAGGCGGCGGCAGGGGTCGCGGCAGCTGCAAAGTCGACTTGCCTTCGGGCTTAGGGTTCCAGCTTACAGGGGTTTTGCTGGCTTACTGGTAGGGTTCACTGGGTGGGGTTCAGGGTTCGGGCTTGAAGTACAAAGCTCTCCGAACGTGCAATAGGGTTTCCGGGACGGTTAGCAAAGTGTCGAAGGTGAAGGCGGGGCACTGCGCGCGCCTTCTGGAGCAGTCTCGGCTTGCTTCCTCTCCTGCATGGCACGGGGTCAGCTCTAAGCCTCTAAGCACGCCGCAAGCTTTCTGCCACAGTGACGCTTCAATCGCGCGGATGCAGAGAGGAGCCTCCTTGGCCCTCCGCCGCTCCTCCTTGCGCTCCTCCTTGCGCTTCTTCCGATCCTTGCGAGACCTGAAGACAGGAGCAGCCGGTCAGGCGGGGCCCAGCTGCTCCTTCATCACGGCTCACTAAAGTCACTAAAGCTCAATTGCTGACTTTGTGGTGGACGGCGGGCTTGTCAAAGAAGCCTGCGAAAGAACAGACAGAACAGGCAACGAGGGCAAACCAACTCGGAAGTCGCAAGTCTCCTCACTTTCCTCGGCATCCGTCTGATCGGGCCTAGACAAGGCCGGACTTTCTGCCACCTGAAGGATGTTGAAGGTCTGAGACTTCGAGCCTGCTCTCCGGCTCGACAATTTCAGGCCTGATGAGAGGCAACAAACAGCCGCGCGTGCGAAAACTGAGGCGTGGCTTACCGAGACGGTGGCGGCTGCGGAATGTCCTGGCATGCAACCCCAGCGAAAAGTTTCATCCTACGCCCTGAACATCCCTGTGCAGCAAAGCGTCCTCGAAGGCAGCCAAGCCAGGGGACCTGCAGCTTCCTTATTCATTAGACATCGTTGCCATCTGCCTCGAAGATGCTCCTTCCGGTTTCCTTCTTCTCATGTGCCGGCCTTTCTTTCTCCGAGTGATCAGGAGTGGGAGGTGCCTGCAAGCCGGATCTCAGCTGAAGTGGTTGTCACTCGACGTCGTCAACTCTGGCGGAAGCAAGGAAGCCTCCATCTGCTCGTTGAGCCCTTCGATGTCTGTGCGCGGGGTCAGCTCACCCTGCCTAAGCTGCGCTGGCTGACCAACATATGACGCCAAGCATGGCTCTTCCACGTGACACATGTGCAAGTGGAATGGGTCTGCCACGGCTCTTCCTCGGGCTGTCCACCGCCCTGTCTACGAAAGTGGTCACTGCTGCCAGTGGTACGATTACGATGCTGAGGCCTGCTTGCTCAATTCGTCTTCGTCCCTTTCGAAATCTGCAGCCTCTCCATCTCTGCAATATCTGAATGCCAAGATGATCATCCGGCGTGGCTTGGCTACTGGCATCCTCTCCCTTCTGTTCCACCGGAAGTGCAGAAACCTTCAAGACCAGTCTGAACATTCTGGCTACCAGTAGGAGTCGGAGAGATTGCGAAGCGACCTCAGCAAGGCTGGCCTTGGAGTCTGGCTGGCGGAAGCAGCGCCGCTTGATTCTCTTCCAAAGCTTCTTGCGAAGGCCCTTGAGGACTCCGAAAGTTGATGCAAGAACATGGCATCTGGCCATTTGCAACACGTCCGGATCATTTTTGAGGGTCCGGACCGGGCATGCCAAGAGTGGCGCCACGCACAGGCAGACAAGGACTGCGAGAACTGCCAAAACCGCGCCCGCAGCAGATTGGCTCTCCTGCAGTGGCAGGAAGTTCGCACCTGTTGCTGGAAGCCATATGCAGTTCAAACTCCCCGATATCCCGAGCAACGGCCTGGCCTCTTCGGGCAGAAAGGCCACAGCAAGTTGTATTGTGATGCTGCCAAGGGCTGGCAGAAAAGCAAGGCACCTCGAACAAAGTCGGGCTGCATGCGCGGGTTTCTCACAAATCAGCTGGAACTACAACTTTTGGGAAAGAAAAGCAGAAGTCTGGGTACAGGCCTGCCAGAGCCATCCAAAGCAGTCATGCATACGCACACCTGTCCAGGCTTTGCGTCTCGGCTGTTGGGCAATTCATGTTTGTGGCTTACTGGGATACACTGATATTATAGGTCGGACAGAGTTGGATTGATCTGGCTAGATTGCTGACGCCTGTGTTCCCGTTGTAACACTGGCGAGAAGCAAAGTACACAGCCACGGATGACCTGATGCACTCCGTCGTCAGGAGGCCCTCCCTCGAATCGACAAACCTGCAACAAGGCTTGTGACAGCTTGTGAGAACGCACCAGAGGTCAGCCCCTGAACCCTAAACCCTAACCCTAAACCCTAAACCCTGAATTCAAAACCCTAAACCCTAAAGCCTGAACCCTAACCTTTGCAGTAGCTCACAGTGGCGACCTCAAGGTTTTTCAGCTCGGCCTGGTCAAGGGCCTGTGTAGAGACCGAGCTGGCGATGCAGGTCCTCGGTCTTTGTGCCGGTTTCTCTTCCCGGTCGCTGATTCTGGTGAGAGTGGAACTTGAACAAGCCATAGATGGCTTACGGTCAGCATGGACCATGACTTCTTGATTGTTTTCGCCCCTTCTCGGCTCGCCACCCCCTGGCGACGATGGTCGAGTCGTAGCGGCAAAGCCCTGGCAGTCCATCGTGCTTATTTTGGCATGCTCGCGGCTTGCTTGTCATGCAGCCCGCAACGCTGTTCTGTGCCAGAGTGTCTCCACTGCTTCACGCTTCAGGCCTTGCGCGTCTGTCACTGTGGCCAGCTGACCTTCACCCCAACAGGCGCAGCATTGACTGAACAAGCTGCAGCCCAGCGCTATAAGATGCCACGAGAGCCTTCATCCTTGACGAGAACTCCCTGTAAGTCACCGGTCCTGAGTGCTTCTGCGAAAGGCAGTGACAGTGATCGGCGACATCAGAAGCAATTCGGAAAAGGCGATGGAAGTCCACGAAGGGAAGATGTTTCAAGGACTACAACGCGGCGAGGCAGGATCCGACACCCGTTTCCAATGCGAACGGTGCCACCATGGGCCCCCTCATGCTTCCTGCTACTATTATAGGTGCCTCGAAGAAACGAAACCCATGAAACTCCGCCAGATTCTGTTATCGGGAGAACGTGGTTGAGCAGCTGCTCTGCAGTCCTATCCAGAGCCTAACTTGTTGAGGCCCCGGCAGGTTGCTGCCGATGATGTGCAGGTCAAAGGGCGCGTTCGCGAACGGCCTTGTAGAGGACATGCAAGCAAGGGACGGCTCACTATGGTTCACACTTCTGTTTGACCCCATTGATCCCAAACAGGCAAGCGCCTTTCTGGGTCGGTGTGCCAGTCGTTGACGGTCGCATCGCAAGGAGGGCCCTCGCAGGGCCGCTCCTCCTGACGGCTTCAGAGATCACCGAAGACACATGCAATGCGTTGCCAAGCTGCAAATGTCGCACAGCGTGAGTCGATGCACCTCAAGGTTGGGGCAGTGGGCATCGTCGTTGAGCATACCGACGATCTGCCAGGATGTCTGTGAAGCATGCATTTGCAAAGCTTGCTGTGTCTGCTGATGCACCCGATGGCGAACTCTCAGCACATGCACATGTAGACTGTCAGCTGAACGACTTCGGCTCGGAATTTGACTCGAACAGTCGACTTACCCTAGCACTGTCACCAGCTCATGCCAAAGACTACCTTCATGCAGAATACCAATAAAAAAGCACTACGAACACACACACACACACACTATATGCAGACGAAGAGCAGTGCCAATACAAACACGAATGCTCATACTTTCATACTTACTCATACTCAAATTATTCTTCCTACTACTCACACTCGTACCCCAAAATGATACCACATTCATATACAAAAACGAACATGACAAAGAATAGTGATCCAGTGGCAACCTCTCCTTCTCATCAGCATCAACTTCACACCCAAAATGCCTGGCGCAGCCAAAGCTCGCTGCCCACACCACAGACTGCGGAGCATGGCGCGCGGTGACGCCAAGGCCCGACCTTGGCAGCTTCTTATGGTTACTGTTGCTTCTGCTGCTGCCACTACTCGTCCCTCCTTCTGTTGCCTCTCCTGCTGCGGCTGCTCCGCCTCCTACTACTACTACTACGACGACGACGACGACGACGACTACTACTACTACTACTACCACTACCACCACTACCACTAGCACCCCTACCCGCTTAGAAGCAACCGTGTTGTACTGCCAGCACTAGCCTACACTGCACTCAGCATTACTTAGCAAGCGTGTATGAGGCTTCCACCAGGCAACCATCGAAGTCGGTCCTGATCAATACTTGGACTGTGCCCGTATGGGCTTGCAGTGGCGCAGGCGGACATCCAGATTCCCCTAAAATCAATGCGATTTTGTGGTATGCAAATGTGATTATACTTGCAGCATCTGAAGCGACATTGGCAAAGACATCCCAATCTTGGCATACAAGTGTGAAGTGTGCCTCTCACCGAAGACATCGGCACTTCCGACCTGCCACTGAGATCGAACACTCTTCAAAGGCCCTTTTCAAGCCTAAGCCCCTTTTGACTAATCCCAGAAGAAGCCCGAGCCATGCTGAGCTTCAGGCATAGTGCGGAAGCCTGGCATTCCCTGCAGGCAGCCAACACAAGGCCTCAGCAACACCACCGGTACGTACCACTTCAGGGAGGTTTGGGACCCCTTTTGGATTTAAAGTTGTGCTGCATTCGAACTTCTGCAATCGAGGCTGCCGCATGGATCCCCTGGCAAGGAACGGCCAAGCACTACATGAACCCGGAGGGAGCTCCTCTCCCCTCCCCTCTGCTTATGCAGGGAAGTTGTCGCAAGTCGGGACAGTCAGGAGATGTCTTCGACCCGCATGCTTGCCACGGCTCAGCATTACATACAATCGACTTCCAGATAGGGTTCGGCCGGTCCACACTAACAGTCACCACCAGCAGACCCACAAAGCCAAGCACCCGGTAAATGCCCAAAAATTGACTGGGATTCCTGCTATTCCTGGTGCTATTCCTGGTGCTATTTCTGGTGCTGTTTCTGGTGCTATTTTTTGTGCTATTCCTGGTGCTATTTCTGGTGCATTTTTTTGTGCTATTCCTGGTGCTATTTCTGGTGCTATTTTTTGTGCTATTGTTTGTGCTATTTCTGGTGCTATTTCTGGTGCTGTTTCTGGTGCCATGTGACTACCAGTCACCATCAGCAGACCCACAAAAAACAGCACCCGGTAAATGCTAAGTTGCTAAAATTGACTGGGGTTCCTGGTGCTATGTCTGGTGCTATTTCTGGTGCTATTTCTGGTGCTATTTTTTGTGCTATTCCTGGTGCTATTCTGGTGCTATTTTTTGTGCTATTGTTTGTGCTATTTCTGGTGCTATTTCTGGTGCTATTTCTGTTGCTATGTGACTAGCAGTCACCACCAGCAGACCCACAAAAAGAAGCACCCGGTAAATGCTAAAATTGACTGGGATTCCTGGTGCTATTTTTGGCCTGTGTGTTATAAGGCCACGGCGTTATTTGACTGTTAGTGTGGACCGGCCGAACCCAACTTCCAGACATTTCCAGAGCACTCACTTCAGCAAAGGCCGCTGGCGAACTGACATGCCTGCCTCAGCGAAGGGCACCTGGAACTGCATCGAAGTTGCGCTCCATTCCTTGGCGGCTAGTTTAGGGTTTAGGGTTTTGGGTTTACGGTTTGGGGTTTAGGGTTTAGGGATTGTTCAGCTTGGCGCTGTCAAGCCGAGGCCAGTGCTGTTGGACTGTGCAAGGTGCTCTGCGCAGGGAGCAGTCGCCCGTTTCCGATACATGCAGTTCCTGGAATCTCCAAGCTGGACAGCAGCGGTCTTACAGCTGGGTTTAGGGTCGATACGGCTGGTCCTGGATCAATATTTCCCGAGCTGACAGGCACCGAGATGAGGCTGTCCTGGCAAGCCACTGCACAGGCTCGAGAACCTGGCTAAAGTTACAAAGAAAAAGAAAAACTCGCCCCTCCAGACAAAACATGTCGAAAGGGGACCCTAAAACGCATAAAATGAACTCATGATCTCTGAACCGGAGAAAACTGTCCATCCCCAATCTCGGGACTCCTCTGGGCTGAAGCCCAGGCCCGTGAATGTAACGTCGGTCAGGAGGCCCACAGACCTGAGCCAAAGCATTGTTGTTCTCCCCTCTTTTACCGAGCATTAGTCGACCTGTAACATCCTGTAATATCCCCACAGTCATTGGGCGTAAAGACAGCAAATTCAAAGCAATATGGCTGAAGAAGTTGATCCTGTCAGTTTCGGCTGCTCTTCATTCTTCGGTGCTCTGAGGTCAGGTCCCATGTACAACCTCCGCGAGCGGGTAGGGCCCGAAAATCTCCAGGTGTCCCAGGCGGTGCCAGCCCTTGCAGGCGTGTAAGGTGGAGACCGCCGCTGCCTTCGCAATTTCTGAACTTAAGAGGAGATCCCTCTCCCCATCCCCCTACCCTCCCAACTCGAGAGAAATGATCCCTGGATACCTTTCTTTCTTTCGTGGGGCTAGGGGACCAGGCCCGAGCGTGTGAGGCACGGGAACGATGGTTTTCCCACATTCTCTCCAAACACTCGAACTTCAACTCAGCGATTACTACGCAATCCCCTCACGTATCCAAACTCTCCAGAACCTCTTAAACTCCAGCTCCTAGATACCTCCTTCTCTGTCGATCTAGATACATATATACATGCACGGGCATGTTGAGATAAACATATATTATATCCAGATATATAATTGTACGTATCACTTAGGACCTACTCCATACCAAACATGACATGTTAAAGAATGCATGCTGTCGATTACAAAATAGACTAGATACAAGATATTGTGCATTCTACACTTTATGCTATATGTGTTGCACTGTACATCTGTGCATGATTTGCTGTATCTGGCACGTAACATATGATACGTAACGTAGTATAGGCTATGTGTTTGACGTCATGCGTTTACATGTTTCGTAAAGATTGTATACGAGAGGTTCTAAATGTCAAAACATACAAGTAGGTACATATGTGCATTCTTTTACATATATATATATATACATATATATTTATACCTATATATATATATGTATGTCAGCAGCACGGGCCCGAAGAACTACGAACTAACCACACCCAGCCTCGCAGATGCAGAGCTCGTGCTCTCCCGGGACGAGGCCGCGAGCAAAGTTCTGGTCCGTGCACTCCATGGCCTGGCCAGGCCAAGGCATTCAACAGCAGGGTTCTAAAAGGCTTCTTCTCTTCTTTTGCTTGTGGTAAATGTTTAGTTTAGGTGCTGTACTACTGGGTAGCTGTTCATGACCTTCAATGACCTTCCAAGTCTGCAGAACACGTTCAAGCCCGGCCGTGCCCAGCGTGCAGGGAAACAGAGCAATGCCTGTCCTTGCAGGGCAGGCTCTGGAAGCTGCCTTCTGTAGTTTCGAGACCTCGAGTGGTGCCACGCCTTTCGAAGTCTGACGGAGCAGCTTCATGCTGAGATCCGCTCGATCGCAGATTCCTCGCAGTTGCGCGTCATGATCAGGCGTCGGGACAGCCTCATCACAACAGCCTATCCTGCTAAACCAAATATTTGCTGCAGCAGCATCACTTCCCACAGGCAATTTTGCAAGATGCCACTGCCCGACCGGAGCAGCGAGCCTTCATCTGCGAAGTCAAGCCGCTCATCTCAGCCATTTCCTCCAATGCTGCGCTGGAGTGCTGGACAGTTCCGACACACAAGTGCCCAGGGCCAGAAAGAGTGCCATCACTTCCTTGAAGTTCCTTGCCGTGCCTCCGTGCCCAGGGCACCGCCAACAGGGCGCCGCCAAGGCCGCTGCGCCCAAGCCAATGGTCGGATCGGGAGCTGGAGTGACCTGACCGGTTGCGGCATTCAGCGCACCAGTGCATCACATGCGAACCCGAGTCTCAGACAGTGCCAAACCATCTGGCTGACGGCAGGGAAATGAGTCAAGGCCCGGAGCCGTGCCGTTCTGCGCGCAGTCCCCACCTCCAAATTCGCAACTTGAGCTCTCCAGAGCCGGAGCGCTGTCATCAGCTGGGCAGGCGGCTCTCTCCCATGGCCTGCTGGCATGCCAAATGCACCAGCTTAGGGGCACAATATGGCACAATACTTCCCAGAGATTGCCAAGGCAGGCACGGCACAGGTAATGTTCACCAGCATGCCGTGACCGTCCGTCATCTCCAGGTCCAGAGGCCTTACAGAGTTTCAAACGTGAGCCGTGAGCCGAAAGCAACGAACACAAACCTACCACAAGAAGACACGCAGAGGTTGGGGAGACTTGGGCAAGGACTCTGTGAGGACCACAGGAAACCAGTGCGTGCCTGGGTATGACAGTACCTCCACAGGTGCAGAATCGCTGCACTTCGGGAGATGATCCGCATCGACCCGTAAACTAGAGCGCACGACCTGCGCAAAAATGAGCAAACATAAGCCCCTGAAAGCAACTCACCAAGCAAAGCGGACACGCTGCCTCCTGCCTGATCGGGACTAAGTCCTTGCACTCCTATCGGGGGGGGGGGGGGGGGGGGGGCAAGATCGGTCACACTTTCATGAGGGGCGAAGCTCTCGATCTCTTTTTTCTCTATTTTTTCTCTCTCTGTCCTGGCGCACGTCATGTTGGCCAAGCCGTGCACAGCACCCTTGCAAAGAATGGTCACTACAATCCATTCAAGCCACGCTGGTCGAACACAAGCGTTTGAGTTGATCTTCTCCATCGCTCTCACTGTAAAGAGAGACTTGGTGTTGTAACACAAAAAAGCTTCTTGCTCCTTGCGCCTGCTGGAACAATGGCTGTAGGGAGCAGCTGTGTAAGCCCCAGACTTATTCCATATGAGGCTGCCTCAAGGCGTACCTGCAGCACCGCATTGCGAAAGTGCGAGGTGCATCTGCTGAGCAGCTCAGGTGGCCCTGACCCTGTCTAGATTGCCTGTCACTCAGCCCAAGATTGCAAGGCTCATAAAGGCGAACTCTGCCCTGGGGCCCTAGGTGCAGATGCCAAGTTGTTTTCAACAGTCAATGACTGCCTTCAGAGGGATGGTGGCGAAGCCAACATCTGCCGAAAGCACCTGAGGAGGATAGCATGACTAGCAACGAGTAATTATGACAAAGTTTGACTGAATGCTGCGAGCCCTGCAACGATGTTGCATCACTCCACAGAAAGCGTGGGCAATCGCAAGACAAATCCGCGCACGCTTGTACAGGATGACGATTCGTGTAGGTCTAGGTCTGCGGCGACTGACCTCAATGCCCCCAATACCCGGAGCTCGCCGACATGCTGCAGCGAAACACTGGACTGCCCAGCCTGACGAGAATTTGCGGAAGTGACGCGCTCGTGCGAACCGCCATGCGCCCTAGGCTCTAGGTATAGACTTTCGATAGGGCAACTTTCCTTGACCCGTGGGTCTATGTCCCAAACCATCCCAAACCTCAATTGATTCTCAAGATTCTATAGCCAAGGCCTGGCCGGGACATCCGAGGTTGCCCTCGCAGAAGCAAAGAGCATAAGAGCCTCGCCGAGAAGGGAGGGGGGGGGGAGCAGGTTGTTGCGGCTCTTTTGAAGGTGGCAGAGTTCAGGGGCTCGATGTCTCTGGCCTGAATGCAGAGGCCACGGCATTTCGACTCTGACCTCCGGGGCGGTGCGGACGATATAAACAAGTAATCATGATATACAAGGTTTGCATGCTACAGCCTACTGTATTTGATTGTGATAAGTAAACACATTTAAAAAAATTAAAATAGCAGTAGCTACAAATGGCCGCCGCCCTGCTAAGGCTGAAGCTGACTGACCGTCGGGAATGAGCCTGCCGGCACTCGAGTACAAGAATATTGCTGGTTGCCCTGCCATCACTGCCATCAGTCGCGTGTCTAAGAATGGGACGACGCTTGTTGAACTGCTGATGCCTCGGTCGATCGTTGCTTCCTTTCTCTGGACCTAGCTGATTGATACCGGAAGACACGGATCCTGTACAGATGTGACGAGGCGGGAGGCGAGCATCATGAGCATCAGCCGGGTAGCTTTCTGGTCACATGCCCTCCCCAAGCTGCAAACGCTTGCAAAACCCTTCGCCCCAGTGATTGCACAGATGTGACGAGGCGGGAGGCGAGCATCATGAGCATCCGCCGGGTCGCTTTCTGGTCACATGCCCTCCCCAAGCTGCAAACGCTTGCAAAACCCTTCGCCCCAGTGATTGCGCAGATGTGACGAGGCGGGCCCAGTGATTGCACAGATGTGACGAGGCGGGAGGCGGAAGGCGAGCATCATGAGCATCCGCCGGGTAGCCTTCTGGTCACATGCCCTCCCCAAGCTGCAAACGCTTGCAGAACCCTTCGCCCCAGTGATTGCACAGATGTGACGAGGCGGGAGGCGAGCATCATGAGCATCAGCCGGGTAGCTTTCTGGTCACATGCCCTCCCCAAGCTGCAAACGCTTGCAAAACCCTTCGCCCCAGTGATTGCGCAGATGTGACGAGGCGGGAGGCGAGCATCATGAGCATCAGCCGGGTAGCTTTCTGGTCACATGCCCTCCCCAAGCTGCAGCCGCTTGCAAAACCCTTCGCCCGAGTGATTGCACAGATGTGACGAGGCGGGAGCCGAGCATCATGAGCATCCGCCGGGTAGCTTTCTGGTCACATGCCCTCCCCAAGCTGCAAACCCTTGCAAGACCCTTCGCTCCAAAGATTGCACAGATGTGACGAGGCGGGAGGCGAGAGGCGAGCATCATGAGCATCCGCCGGTAGCTTTCTGGTCACATGCCCTCCCCAAGCTGCAGCCGCTTGCAAAACCCTTCGCCCCAGTGATTGGACAGATGTGACGAGGCGGGAGGCGAGCATCGTGAGCATCAGCCGGGTAGCTTTCTGGTCACATGCCCTCCCCAAGCTGCAAACGCTTGCAAAACCTTCGCCCTCAGTGATTGCACAGATGTGACGAGGCGGGAAGCGGGAGGCGAGCATCATGAGCATCAGCCGGGGTAGCTTTCTGGTCACATGCCCTCCCCAAGCTCAAACGCTTGCAAAACCCTTCGCCCCAGTGATTGCACAGATGTGACGAGGCGGGAGGCGAGCATCATAGCTGCAAACGCTTGAAAAGCCCTTCGCCCCAGTGATTGCACAGATGTGACGAGGCGGGAGGCGAGCATCATGAGCATCAGCCGGGTAGCTTTCTGGTCGCATGCCCTCCCCAAGCTGCAAACGCTTGCAAAACCCTTCGCCCCAGTGATTGCACAGATGTGACGAGGCGGGAGGCGAGCATCATGAGCATCAGCCGGGTAGCTTTCTGGTCACATGCCCTCCCCAAGCTGCAGCCGCTTGCAAACCCTTCGCCCCAGTGATTGCACAGATGTGACGAGGCGGGAGGCGAGCATCATGAGCATCAGCCGGGTAGCTTTCTGGTCACATGCCCTCCAGAAGCTGCAAACACTTGCAAAACCCTTCGCCCCAGTGATTGCACAGATGTGTCGAGGCGGGAGGCGAGCATCATGAGCATCAGCCGAGTAGCTTTCTGGTCACATGCCCTCCCCAAGCTGCAGCTGCTTGCAAACCCTTCGCCCCAGTGATTGCACAGATGTGACGAGGCGGGAGGCGAGCATCATGAGCATCAGCCGGGTAGCTTTCTGGTCACATGCCCTCCCCAAGCTGCAAACGCTTGCAAAACCCTTCGCCGGAGTGATTGCACAGATGTGACGAGGCGGGAGGCGAGCATCATGAGCATCCGCCGGGTCGCTTTCTGGTCACATGCCCTCCCCAAGCTGCAAACGCTTGCAAAACCCTTCGCCCCAGTGATTGCACAGATGTGACGAGGCGGGAGGCGAGAGGCGAGCATCATGAGCATCAGCCGGGTAGCTTTCTGATCACATGCCCTCCCCAAGCTGCAAGCGCTTGCAAACCCCTTCGCCCCAGTGATTGCACAGATGTGACGAGGCGGGAGGCGAGCATCATGAGCATCAGCCGGGTAGCTTTCTGGTCACATGCCCTCCCCAAGCTGCAGCCGCTTGCAAAACCCTTCGCCCGAGTGATTGCACAGATGTGACGAGGCGGGAGGCGAGCATCGTGAGCATCAGCCGGGTAGCTTTCTGGTCACATGCCCTCCCCAAGCTGCAAACCCTTGCAAAACCCTTCGCCCCAGTGATTGCACAGATGTGACGAGGCGGGAGGCGAGCATCATGAGCATCAGCCGGTAGCTTTCTGGTCACATGCCCTCCCCAAGCTGCAGCCGCTTGCAAAACCCTTCGCCCGAGTGATTGCACAGATGTGACGAGGCGGGAGGCGAGCATCATGAGCATCCGCCGGGTAGCTTTCTGGTCACATGCCCTCCCCAAGCTGCAAACGCTTGCAAAACCCTTCGCCGGAGTGATTGCACAGATGTGACGAGGCGGGAGGCGAGCATCATGAGCATCAGCCGGGTAGCTTTCTGGTCACATGCCCTCCCCAAGCTGCAGCCGCTTGCAAAACCCTTCGCCCCAGTGATTGCACAGATGTGACGAGGCGGGAGGCGAGCATCATGAGCATCAGCCGGGTAGCTTTCTGGTCACATGCCCTCCCCAAGCTGCAAACGCTTGCAAAACGCTTCGCCCCAGTGATTGCACAGATGTGACGAGGCGGGAGGCGAGCATCATGAGCATCAGCCGGGTAGCTTTCTGGTCACATGCCCTCCCCAAGCTGCAAACGCTTGCAAAACCCTCGCCCCAGTGCTTCAGATGTGACGGGAGGCGAGCATCAAGCACGGGTAGCTGGATGCAAGCTCTTGAGCCCCAGTGATTGCACAGGCGGGAGGCGAGCATCATGAGCATCAGCCGGGTAGCTTTCTGGTCACATGCCCTCCCCAAGCTGCAGCCGCTTGCAAACCCTTCGCCCCAGTGATTGCACAGATGTGACGAGGCGGGAGGCGAGCATCATGAGCATCAGCCGGGTAGCTTTCTGGTCACATGCCCTCCAGAAGCTGCAAACACTTGCAAAACCCTTCGCCCCAGTGATTGCACAGATGTGACGAGGCGGGAGGCGAGCATCATGAGCATCAGCCGGGTAGCTTTCTGGTCACATGCCCTCCCCAAGCTGCAAACGCTTGCAAACCCTTCGCCCCAGTGATTGCACAGATGTGACGAGGCGGGAGGCGAGCATCATGAGCATCAGCCGGGTAGCTTTCTGGTCACATGCCCTCCACAAGCTGCAAACACTTGCAAAACCCTTCGCCCCAGTGATTGCACAGATGTGTCGAGGCGGGAGGCGAGCATCATGAGCATCAGCCGAGTAGCTTTCTGGTCACATGCCCTCCCCAAGCTGCAAACCCTTGCAAAACCCTTCGCCCCAGTGATTGCACAGATGTGACGAGGCGGGAGGCGAGCATCATGAGCATCAGCCGGGTAGCTTTCTGGTCACATGACCTCCCCAAGCTGCAAATGCTTGCAAAACCCTTCGCCCCAGTGATTGCGCAGATGTGACGAGGCGGGAGGCGAGCATCATGAGCATCAGCCGGGTAGCTTTCTGGTCACATGCCCTCCCCAAGCTGCAAACGCTTGCAAAACCCTTCGCCCCAGTGATTGCACAGATGTGACGAGGCGGGAGGCGAGCATCATGAGCATCAGCCGGGTAGCTTTCTGGTCACATGCCCTCCCCAAACTGCAAACGCTTGCAAAACCCTTCGCCCTAGTGATTGCACAGATGTGACGAGGCGGGAGGCGAGCATCATGAGCATCAGCCGAGTAGCTTTCTGGTCACATGCCCTCCCGAAGCTGCAAACCCTTGCAAAACCCTTCGCCCCAGTGATTGCACAGATGTGACAAGGCGGGAGGCGAGCATCATGAGCATCAGCCGGGTAGCTTTCTGGTCATGCCCTCCAGAAGCTGCAAACGCTTGCAAAACCCTTCGCCCCGGCGATGGCACAGATGCGTCGAGGCGGGAGGCGAGCATCATGAGCATCAGCCGGGTAGCTTTCTATCACATGCCCTCCCCAAGCTGCAAACGCTTGCAAAACCCTTCGCCCCAGTGATTGCATAGATGCGACGAGGCGGGAGGCGAGCATCATGAGCATCAGCCGGGTAGCTTTCTATCACATGCCCTCCCCAAGCTGCAAACGCTTGCAAAACCCTTCGACCCAGTGATTCAGATGTGACGAGGCAGGAGGCGAGCATCATGAGCATCCGCCGGGTAGCTTTGTGGTCACATGCCCTCCCCCAGCTGCAAACGCTTGCAAAACCCTTCGCCCCAGTGATTGCACAGATGTGACGAGGCGGGAGGCGAGCATCATGAGCATCAGCCGGGTAGCTTTCTATCACATGCCCTCCCCAAGCTGCAAACGCTTGCAAACCCTTCGCCCCAGTGATTGCACAGATGTGACGAGGCGGGAGGCGAGCATCATGAGCATCAGCCGGGTAGCTTTCTGGTCACATGCCCTCCCCAAGCTGCAGCCGCTTGCAAAACCCTTCGCCCCAGTGATTGCACAGATGTGACGAGGCGGGAGGCGAGCATCATGAGCATCAGCCGGGTAGCTTTCTGGTCACATGCCCTCCAGAAGCTGCAAACGCTTGCAAAACCCTTCGCCCCAGTGATTGCACAGATGTGACGAGGCGGGAGGCGAGCATCATGAGCATCAGCCGGGTAGCTTTCTGGTCACATGCCCTCCAGAAGCTGCAAACACTTGCAAAACCCTTCGCCCCAGTGATTGCACAGATGTGACGAGGCGGGAGGCGAGCATCATGAGCATCAGCCGGGTAGCTTTCTGGTCAAATGCCCCCCCAAGCTGCAAACGCTTGCAAAACCCTTCGTCCCAGTGATTGCACAGATGTGACGAGGCGGGAGGCGAGCATCATGAGCATCAGCCGGGTACTTTTCTGGTCAAATGCCCTCGCCAAGCTGCAAACCCTTGCAAAACCCTTCGCCCCAGTGATTGCACAGATGTGTCGAGGCGGGAGGCGAGCATCATGAGCATCAGCCGAGTAGCTTTCTGGTCACATGCCCTCCCGAAGCTGCAAACCCTTGCAAAAACCCTTCGCCCCAGTGATTGCACAGATGTGACGAGGCTGGAGGCGAGCATCATGAGCATCAGCCGGGTAGCTTTCTGGTCACATGACCTCCCCAAGCTGCAAATGCTTGCAAAACCCTTCGCCCCAGTGATTGCAGAGGTGTGACGAGGCGGGAGGCGAGCATCATGAGCATCAGCCGGGTAGCTTTCTGGTCGCATGCCCTCCCCAAGCTGCAAACACTTGCAAAACCCTTCGCCCCAGTGATTGCACAGATGTGACGAGGCAGGAGGCGAGCATCATGAGCATCCGCCGGGTAGCTTTGTGGTCACATGCCCTCCCCCAGCTGCAAACGCTTGCAAAACCCTTCGCCCCAGTGATTGCACAGATGTGACGAGGCGGGAGGCGAGCATCATGAGCATCAGCCGGGTAGCTTTCTATCACATGCCCTCCCCAAGCTGCAAACGCTTGCAAACCCTTCGCCCCAGTGATTGCACAGATGTGACGAGGCGGGAGGCGAGCATCATGAGCATCAGCCGGGTAGCTTTCTGGTCACATGCCCTCCCCAAGCTGCAGCCGCTTGCAAAACCCTTCGCCCCAGTGATTGCACAGATGTGACGAGGCGGGAGGCGAGCATCATGAGCATCAGCCGGGTAGCTTTCTGGTCACATGCCCTCCAGAAGCTGCAAACGCTTGCAAAACCCTTCGCCCCAGTGATTGCACAGATGTGACGAGGCGGGAGGCGAGCATCATGAGCATCAGCCGGGTAGCTTTCTGGTCACATGCCCTCCAGAAGCTGCAAACACTTGCAAAACCCTTCGCCCCAGTGATTGCACAGATGTGACGAGGCGGGAGGCGAGCATCATGAGCATCAGCCGGGTAGCTTTCTGGTCAAATGCCCCCCCAAGCTGCAAACGCTTGCAAAACCCTTCGTCCCAGTGATTGCACAGATGTGACGAGGCGGGAGGCGAGCATCATGAGCATCAGCCGGGTACTTTTCTGGTCAAATGCCCTCACCAAGCTGCAAACCCTTGCGAAACCCTTCGCCCCAGTGATTGCACAGATGTGTCGAGGCGGGAGGCGAGCATCATGAGCATCAGCCGAGTAGCTTTCTGGTCACATGCCCTCCCGAATCTGCAAACCCTTGCAAAAACCCTTCGCCCCAGTGATTGCACAGATGTGACGAGGCTGGAGGCGAGCATCATGAGCATCAGCCGGGTAGCTTTCTGGTCACATGACCTCCCCAAGCTGCAAATGCTTGCAAAACCCTTCGCCCCAGTGATTGCAGAGGTGTGACGAGGCGGGAGGCGAGCATCATGAGCATCAGCCGGGTAGCTTTCTGGTCACATGCCCTCCCCAAGCTGCAAACACTTGCAAAACCCTTCGCCCCAGTGATTGCACAGATGTGACGAGGCGGGAGGCGAGCATCATGAGCATCAGCCGGGTAGCTTTCTGGTCACATGCCCTCCCCAAGCTGCAAACGCTTGCAAAACGCTTCGCCCCAGTGATTGCACAGATGTGACGAGGCGGGAAGCGAGCATCATGAGCATCAGCCGGGTAGTTGTCGGGTCACATGCCCTCCCCAAGCTGCAAACGCTTGCAAAACCCTTCGCCCCAGTGATTGCACAGATGTGACGAGGCGGGAGGCGAGCATCATGAGCATCAGCCGGGTAGCTTTCTGGTCACATGCCCTCCAGAAGCTGCAAACGCTTGCAAAACCCTTCGCCCCAGCGATGGCACAGATGTGACGAGGCGGGAGGCGAGCATCATGAGCATCAGCCGGGTAGCTTTCTGGTCACATGCCCTGCGGAGCTGCAACCGCTTGCAAAACAAATCGCCCCAGCGATTGCACAGATGCGTCGAGGCGGGAGGCGAGCATCATGAGCATCAGCCGGGTAGCTTTCTATCACATGCCCTCCCCAAGCTGCGAACGCTTGCAAAACCCTTCGCCCCAGTGATTGCACAGATGCGACGAGGCGGGAGGCGAGCATCATGAGCATCAGCCGGGTAGGTTTCTATCACATGCCCTCCCCAAGCTGCAAACGCTTGCAAAACCCTTCGACCCAGTGATTCAGATGTGACGAGGCAGGAGGCGAGCATCATGAGCATCCGCCGGGTAGCTTTCTGGTCACATGCCCTCCCCCAGCTGCAAACGCTTGCAAAACCCTTCAATCAAAGGAACGCCTGCCAGCCCGCATGACACCCCATCTTACTGAGTTCGGGGCAGCTAGATCATCACAGGGCCGGTATTTCATCTCTGCAAGGAAGAGGTTGCCCCTCTTGGCCACCTCGGCGTCCTGCAAGAAACACACACACACAAACACCTAAATCGCTTGCGGCAGTCCAGAAGGGTGATGTATGATGATGTGTTGCTACGCTCCGCTGCGATGATCCCTTGACCCTTGCCAATAGAAACAGGGTCCTCGCCATGCAAAAGCACCGGCTCGCCAGGGCAGCGTGGCGAGGATGGGACACAATCGAAGCGGAGGCCTCTGCGTGTTTCGGAAACAATGTCGAAAAAAGGGCGGACAAGGCGTGGGGCGGGGCCGCCTGTGAGGTTGAGTCTGGAGTGTGTCTGAATGGCATTCCCTCGCCTCCCCCAAGGCCGCTGGAGCGCACGTAGCCCATCAGCATGTTAAAGAACCTGCCCTGACCATTCTGACCTGGGCTGCTAGATTGCAGAAGCTGCACACACGCTGCCACGCCGACAACATCTGAGGAGAACGCATGCGAAAATTCCATGAACCTGCTGCTATCTACAAACAATCTACAAGGTACTCTCGTCGAGTTCATTCACGAGCACAGTCGTTCTTTCGTAGCCGATCTGGTGAGTCCCTGGCTGCTGCCGAACAGTAGCAAACTGTCGCCATGTCATTCTCCTCAGCATGTGGGGCGTCCTGCCCTGGTTGCCCCTCCAAACCGCCAATATCTGCCCCTAGGTATTGCTTTCGCTGGTATCAGCTCAGCTCCTGACATATTCCAGGATCTCAACCTTAAGCTACTCGTGAACTGCACTGATACTACAGGAAAAATCGGCTCCCCTGAGCTTTTAGCACTCACTCTGGCAGTGCTGTCGCCGAGCAATGTCACTAAGGATGTGGAGGCAAAGACCTTTGGACAACTTTTCAGGTGCGGAATGAGCCTCCCCCACCGAAACTCCCACACCGAAATGCTGTGTAGACTCTTGCCCTGCCTTGCCGTCCAAGTCGGCACAGCTTGAGTTGCCAGCGACGGGGACCACGGTATCTCCCTTGCCCATGCCTCAGCATGCTGTGGAGGGACCCGGATGTGGGACGGATGGTCAAGGTCGATCTAAGAAAGCCCTTTGAGTGGTCCTTTTCGCGACTCAGTGCTGGAGCCGAGTCACCGAATGCTTCTGCACGGCCCAAGCGGCACAGCTGGCCGCGGTAGCAGTGGACCTCTGGCACCTCGGCCAAGCTTTACACGATTCTTCTGGGACTGGGACAGCTTCGCTCCACCTGCTTGACAAAAGGGATAAGGCCCGAGCTGTGTTCCCGGCAAAGCCCACAAGGGAGAGAGTCCCTGGATGCGTGCGCTGGCTGCACTCCCAGGCTTTTGGGCCCTCCGCGTCCCTCTGTGTCCGCCCCAGCCCCCACCCCCCCCCCATCCCTCGGCCTGCGTGCTGCCAGTCTGCTGCTCCACAGGCACCGTCAGAAGAGGCACTGGCGTAGTTCTCGCAGTAGCAGACCTCGAAAGGCCGTGAGACATGAAACACAGGCCGCAAAATGCTGCATCCTGCATCGGTTGCGCGGTATCTGCTACCACTTGTACACTTTGGGCCATGTAGTGTTATCTTGCAGGCAACATCTTCGGGCGGGATACGGAGGGATCACCGAGCCTTCAGCAGCCGCTGCGCTCCTGAGTCCGTGATTGCTGTGGTGAAGCCGTTGGTGGCGGTGTCCGATGGCACCTACAGGCAGAGTGACCATGAATCACCTGAACCTGTGCATAGGCCAACATTGCAAAAAACATTGCGGCAGCGTGCACCTGGAATGTCCAGGCAGAGGCGTCCCCTCTCCTGGCATGGCGGCACGGATGGTCGGCAGATGGTCGGCACAAATCAGCCCCCAAGATCCGAACTTCGCAACCCTGAGTCCACCCTCTCGGGGCCTGGGTTGCAGCATGGTGCCTGAGCTTGCCTCGCCGCAAGGTACGGCAGGGTCGCCTTCAGTAAGCTCAGCCATGTCCTCAAAGTATCTCAAAGTCAAGTATGCAAACAGAACCATACATCCTTGCAGACGGACATACATATATCAGAGATCATGCTGCACACGGCTTCAAACTTCCCTGATCCGGGCACTCAGGGGCATCTCCTTCTTAATTTAAAGAGTGTACCATTAGAAGTCTGCAATTTCAGGGCGCAGCGAATTGAAAAGACCCCCTATAGACTCCTGCGCCGACAGGCCACCGCGGTCTGACCGAACAGTGATCTGGCAGCCCTGCAGAAGGCGGAGCGGAATCATGTGGAATCATGGACAAAGAGCCTCAGGATACGTAATCTACACTACAAATCACATGCCCAGTCATGGCTTCGCCCACTCTAACGTGCTCTGTGACCCAGGGGTCCTGCTGGATCTGAGTGGCACCCACCACCAGGCATGCGGCAATGGGATCTTCGCTGTGCTTGATGCCCATCGCATAAATTACTCCAACCTGAGGGCTGGTCCCGAGACTCTCTCCGAGATCCTCTCCGCATGGAGTCGACGCAGCTAGTCCTCTATAGTCTCTCATAGTCTCTCTCTCCTGTGCCGAGGTGCGTAGCGATACAAGGCATTGTCCCGGTCGCAGGGAGACTCTGCTGAAGGAAGGGAAATGCCGAAGCTTGCAAGATAATTCGTCTCGTCTGAAGCTGCACAATAGCAAATTGGAAAGGAACCACGGATCCGCATTTGTACAGGGTACCAGCTGGCCTTAAGCCATCCAAGCTGGTTTGCAGATTCGATAATCGGTCCCCCATGCACCAGGGGCGAGGGTTCCGCATGCGGGTGATACACATAAGGTGCTACTGACAAGGACTGCCTCCGCTTGTCTGATTCTGCTGCATCTGATCGACCAGGGCAGCCTGTGCCCGCATCCCGGACTACCGCACGATCCTTGTAATTCAGGCCAGGGCCACTCAGCTCGAGCTTAAATGTTGCCCCGATCATCTCGAAGAGCTCCACGCCTCCCTCTGGTCCTGCTGCCCATACCGGAAGCAATGGTCCAAAAAAATAAATCACCTCAGCTTCGGTGCAACGATAAAGTGAGTCACAGCGCACGACAGGCTACGCTTGGCCGACAAAAAGGCGCGAAACCAATTCGCTGCTGAAGCCAGGCCAAGCAACTAACAAAGGCATCCATGGCTGGTGCTGACCAAGCAGTGCGCAACATGCTGCCAGCAATGAGCGGCGCACACCTCTTGAGGGAGCCATGGGCACAGTCCTACCTAATGCCTATCTACGGCCTCACGGCACAGTTGCCAAAGCATGCATCGTAAGGTTTCAGGTGCCGCTGCCTGTGAAACCGATCAGAAACTTGCCAACACTGACGGGCTGTCATTGCCTATGAACCAGCTGGTGCATGTGGCGATCGATGAACGCATGGATTATAAATTACTTGCTCGCTAAGCTGATGATCCGACGGGAGGCGGAATCGCTGGCAAACTGAACGTATTCTGGTGGTCTCACGGACATCTCTGCCCGTCGTTCTCCCCTCAGCCACACAAACTTACGCACGACTCATGCCACTCTACATGTGAGGCGGGCTGCAGCAGTGCGGATCCGCGCCTGTGCAGTTGAGACCTTGGCCCCTACATGACACACGGATCGCACAGCTCCTGGATGAACTTGTGCGACAGCTGGTTCACAGCCTCAACATGCAGGAACTTCTGAGAAAGGTCTTGCGATTCAATAACCTAAGACCATGTAGCTTGCCTCAAAGCTGTATGGAAAGAAGTCCACGATGGCAAGCCTTGCAGGACTGTCCTGCCAAGAAGATTCATCACCTTCTCTCAACACCTGTCTGAAGGAAAAATGCAAACTGAGACATGTCATGAGACCCCTAGATGTTCTCTCCTGCGCACCGAGCTCATCCAATTTTGCCAAGAACTTCTGTGCGACGTTCAGCAGGGCATCCTCCGGCCAGGGTTGAAACCTGCCAGGGTTGGCAAGAAGGCGACTCCCAAGACTGTTGTACTCAGCTGAAAGCACTCCGAAACTTCGCAAGCCTAAAGCACCCAAGTCCAAGCCCCCTAAAGACGACGCGAGCATGCTGACACATGCGAGAGAAAACGATGCCCACTATGGAGACAGAGTCACGCCGTGCCATAAAGAAAACCCCCCACCCCCACCCCCCTACCCCCAACAAAAACTTCAAACACAAGTGCAGCAGCTAGAGGGGAGGGGAGGAGTGGGTGCGGAGGCATCTCCTATCACATCTTTCAAAGCTGCTTGCTCTCAACAACCTGCCGGGCTCGCCAGTCAATGGTGGTACAGTTCACGAGCGCTGGGAACTTGCGGGCCCGACTCCAAAGCCCATCACCGACGGGACTGAAGCCTGGCCAATCGCCGAGGTTGGCCCTGAAAATCGTCTGATAGAAGTATTCCTTCATGTATGATCCTCTCAAACCCAATAAGGGAATAAGGGGAAAGATGTAACGTCCCAGGGGCTGCCTGTGGCAAATGCAATCAAACCCTTCGTCCTTGCATCGTGCGCTTGTAGCCATGGGCAATTCGGAGCACAGAGCACGCGACGCCGTCCACATCTCTCCACTCAAACTCACCAGAAGCGTAACTGTTGGCAGGGCAGGCAGAGTGACATGTGCAGGTTCTTCCGGACCTGTCGGTCGAAACATGGAAAAGATGATGGCGACGGGACTGACATCCTGCTAGGCGCCAAGCTCTGGAGATGTAGAATGCCCACCTCTGGATACTGGAACTCATTCGGCCGGACCCGTTGGTAAGCGATTATGTCCAAGCTGCAAGTTGTCGGGCGTGTCCACGATGCCCTGGCCCTTCGCTGCACTCCTCAAGCATTTGCACTTGTTCTCCAAGCTTTCATGGCGAGCGTGCAGCGAATCAGAAATCAAGTCATGACGCCTCACTGCATTGCGGATGGAATCCTTGTCCTGATACAAGAACAGCATGCGCGGCATAGCGTTCACGGGCATACCATGTGCTAGCATACTGGAGTAGTGCATGTCTGCTTTGCAGTCCTCACTGGGGTACAAGTCCGTGATCTCTCCAGATGAGAGCAGGTCATTGAAGAACACGAAAAATCTGCCACCAGCTGAGCGCTCGTGTCTGGGAATGTGCCAAACCTCTGCTTGGCCGCCTCTCGTCTGCAATCTGGTTGTCTGTGAACAGGAACATGACCCCCTCATCTTTCTCGCCGGACCTGTCAGGACAGCTGGGCAACCACGGCTACCACCACTAATGTTCACGGTGCACGTGCAAGCAACCTCAAAAAGAGGTTCACATCCAGTGTTTCTACGAGACGCCTTTTGTACATGTACTGCAGGTCGGTCTTCAAGTCGCTCAGGCCGTAGGAGCTTGTGATGACAATCATGTGCCTGTCATGACCCTCACCCAGGAGTCTCATGACATCAAGGATGTCCTGTGCGATGGAGCATCCCGAAGCTGAGTGCGCCACGTCAGGCTCTGGCAAATAAACGCGCTTAACCTGCCAAGGCTCTGGCAAGGTGTGATTCACGGGACAACATGTTAAGCCAAATTAATGGGGAGCTGATTACCTAAATTACCTAGAAGGGGCCAGGGCGAGGAGCCTCGCATCCTCACCTTGAGGCCCACATCTCTTGGACAGTGTTGGACAGTGTTGGACAGGCCTGCTGAGACTCTGTCGTCCGCTCCCACCGACGCCCACCAGGAGCGGATGGCCCGAGGGGCCTCCCACATAACTCACTTTGGTGTGATTTGCCAGACGTGTTTGGGTCCAAGTGCCGTGCTAGAGATGATGCGGCTGATCCGTGCCACGTGCTTCATGGCGTCCTCATCAAGTAGTCGATGGTAGCTGGGCCTAGCTGCCTCAAGCTTCGCTTCTCGACCGCAACTTGCCTCAAACAACACCAGGTCCATGGATGCGAAGGTGCTGTCGTAGTCCTTCATGGCCTGGCGATGAGGGTGCGAGAGACTCCTGGGATCAGCCGGCCGGGCAACAAAAAAAAAGGCGCCACAACAGTCCCGAAAGTTAACACCAAGAACCTGCCGGCTTGCATGATTCGAGTTCGATTCTGAAGCAACCCAAAAGAAATTGCTTCGCCACCTCCTTAACGGGGAGCCGCCGGTCAAACCCCGAAAGCCCTCCCGGGTTTTGCAAGCATTTGCAGCTTGGGGAGGGCATGTGACCAGAAAGCTACCCGGCTGATGCTCATGATGCTCGCCTCCCGCCTCGCTCACACCTGAATCACTGGGGCGAGGGGTTTTGCAAGCGTTTGCAGCTTGGGGAGGGCATGTGACCAGAAAGCTACCCGGCTGATGCTCATGATGCTCGCCTCCCGCCTCGCTCACATCTGAATCACTGGGGCGAGGGGTTTTGCAAGCGTTTGCAGCTTGGGGAGGGCATGTGACCAGAAAGCTACCCGGCTGATGCTCATGATGCTCGCCTCCCGCCTCGTCACATCTGAATCACTGGGGCGAGGGGTTTTGCAAGCGTTTGCAGCTTGGGGAGGGCATGTGACCAGAAAGCTACCCGGCTGATGCTCATGATGCTCGCCTCCCGCCTCGTCACATCTGCAATCACTGGGGCGAGGGTTTTGCAAGCGTTTGCAGCTTGGGGAGGGCATGTGACCAGAAAGCTACCCGGCTGATGCTCATGATGCTCGCCTCCCGCCTCGTCACATCTGAATCACTGGGGCGAGGGGTTTTGCAAGCGTTTGCAGCTTGGGGAGGGCATGTGACCAGAAAGCTACCCGGCTGATGCTCATGATGCTCGCCTCCCGCCTCGTCACATCTGAATCACTGGGGCGAGGGGTTTTGCAAGCGTTTGCAGCTTGGGGAGGGCATGTTACCAGAAAGCTACCCGGCTGATGCTCATGATGCTCGCCTCCCGCCTCGTCACATCTGAATCACTGGGGCGAGGGGTTTTGCAAGCGTTTGCAGCTTGGGGAGGGCATGTGACCAGAAAGCTACCCGGCTGATGCTCATGATGCTCGCCTCCTGCCTCGTCACATCTGTGCAATCACTGGGGCGAAGCGTTTTGCAAGCGTTTGCAGCTTGGGGAGGGCATGTGACCAGAAAGCTACCCGGCTGATGCTCATGATGCTCGCCTCCCGCCTCGTCACAACTGGGGCGAAGCGTCTTGCAAGCGTTTGCAGTTTGGGGAGGGCATGTGACCAGAAAGCTACCCGGCTGATGCTCGTGATGCTCGCCTCCCGCCTCGTCACATCTGTGCAATCACTGGGGGGAAGCGTTTTGCAAGCATTTGCAGCTTGGGGACGTGATGCTCGCCTCCCGCCTCGTCACATCTGTGCAATCACTGGGGTGAAGCGTTTTGCAAGCGTTTGCAGCTTGGGGAGGGCATGTGACCAGAAAGCTACCCGGCTGATGCTCATGATGCTCGCCTCCCGCCTCGCCACATCTGTGCAATCACTGGGGCTAAGCGTTTTGCAAGCGTTTGTAGCTTGGGGAGGGCATGTGACCAGAAAGCTACCCGGCTGATGCTCATGATGCTCGCCTCCCGCCTCGTCACATCTGCGCAATCACTGGGGCGAAGCGTTTTGCAAGCGTTTGCAGCTTGGGGAGGGCATGTGACCAGAAAGCTACCCGGCTGATTGTCATGATGCTCGCCTCCTGCCTCGTCACATCTGTGCAATCACTGGGGCGAAGCGTCTTGCAAGCGTTTGCAGCTTGGGGAGGGCATGTGACCAGAAAGCTACCCGGCTGATGCTCATGATGCTCGCCTCCCGCCTCGTCACATCTGAATCACTGGGGCGAGGGGATTTGCAAGCGTTTGCAGCTTGGGGAGGGCATGTGACCAGAAAGCTACCCGGCTGATGCTCATGATGCTCGCCTCCCGCCTCGTCACATCTGCGCAATCACTGGGGCGAAGGGTTTGCAAGCGGCTGCAGCTTGGGGAGGGCATGTTACCAGAAAGCTTCCCGGCTGATGCTCATGATGCTCGCCTCCCGCCTCGTCACATCTGAATCACTGGGGCGAGGGGTTTTGCAAGCGTTTGCAGCTTGGGGAGGGCATGTGACCAGAAAGCTACCCGGCTGATGCTCATGATGCTCGCCTCCCCCCTCGTCACATCTGAATCACTGGGGCGAGGGGTTTTGCAAGCGTTTGCAGCTTGGGGAGGGCATGTGACCAGAAAGCTACCCGGCTGATGCTCATGATGCTCGCCTCCCGCCTCGTCACATCTGAATCACTGGGGCGAGGGGTTTTGCAGCTTGGGGAGGGCATGTGACCAGAAAGCTACCCGGCTGATGCTCATGATGCTCGCCTCCCGCCTCGTCACATCTGAATCACTGGGGCGAGGGGTTTTGCAAGCGTTTGCAGATTGGGGAGGGCATGTGACCAGAAAGCTACCCGGCTGATGCTCATGATGCTCGCCTCCCGCCTCGTCACATCTGAATCACTGGGGCGGGGGTTTTGCAAGCGTTTGCAGCTGGGGAGGGCATTCTTACCAGAAAGCTTCCCGGCTGATGCTCATGATGCTCGCCTCCCGCCTCGTCACATCTGAATCACTGGGGCGAGGGTTTTGCAAGCGTTTGCAGCTTGGGGAGGGCATGTGACCAGAAAGCTACCCGGCTGATGCTCATGATGCTCGCCTCCCGCCTCGTCACATCTGAATCACTGGGGCGAGGGGTTTTGCAAGCGTTTGCAGCTTGGGGAGGGCATGTTACCAGAAAGCTTCCCGGCTGATGCTCGCCTCCCGCCTCGTCACATCTGAATCACTGGGGCGAGGGGTTTTGCAAGCGTTTGCAGCTTGGGGAGGGCATGTGACCAGAAAGCTACCCGGCTGATGCTCATGATGCTCGCCTCCCACCTCGTCACATCTGAATCACTGGGGCGAGGGGTTTTGCAAGCGTTTGCAGCTTGGGGAGGGCATGTTACCAGAAAGCTTCCCGGCTGATGCTCATGATGCTCGCCTCCCGCCTCGTCACATCTGAATCACTGGGGCGAAGGGTTTTGCAAGCGTTTGCAGCTTGGGGAGGGCATGTGACCAGAAAGCTTCCCGGCTGATGCTCATGATGCTCGCCTCCCGCCTCGTCATATCCGCGCAATCAGTGGGGCGAGGGGTTTTGCAAGCGTTTGCAGCTTGGGGAGGGCATGTGACCAGAAAGCTACTGGGTGCCCGCCCTAAGGCGACCCACGAGGGCAAAAGGCGACTCACCCCAAGTAGACGCCCCTGAATGCAAAAGGCAACCCATGCGTGCAAAAGGCGACCCCAGAAAGCTAATCCCCAGGGAGACGCCCTTACCAGGCTACTACTTTTTGCAACATAGCAACAAACAAGCAAAATGCATGCGAGACCGAGCGCAGAGTACCGATTCTAAAGGATTTCGGACGACGATGCACCCTGAAACCCCAATGTGACGCCTTGCCAGACTACTTGCGCAACATAGCGAAACACAAAGGGCTGAGTGTGTCC